ACACAAACTATAGGGAACTTAGGATTTGTATGCAGGCCAAATCTGTACCAACCTATAAATACATTCAGTCTTAGATCTACCGCATTTCAAGTCAAGTCGTCCCCTTCAGACCAGGGACACGTGAACGGCTGTTCACTTGGAGTTTGTATACTCCTGCTTCCTCTGTTAAGAAGTGCTGTGTGCCCCGTCACACCAACAACACGCTAACCCGCAAAGGTAAGCGCTTATTGGATCAAAACCTGAAGACCAGGAACGATCTCTTACACCGGGTCGGTTGCAAGCGCCTCTGTGCACCTTAGGTTGTCTTCGGTCAACCCAAAAACCTGTACCGCTAGCCACGAGCTAAGGCTAGGATACTATGTAGCGCTTTCGCGCAACCCCAGAAAGGAAGGGTACCGGCGTGTTAGGCCTTATACAGGGGGACCAAGGTAAAACCTCGGTAGGTAGACTAATACACTCAGGGACACTCTAATCCCACAAATATATACTGAACGATACCCTAATACCGTTCCTGCCTCTCCGGCCACGCCAACTCTTGGCGCTGCCAAGGAAACTCTCGGTCAATGCACGACAAGCTCCCCGACAGGCATCCACACGCAGCCGAGCGTGTCCAGGCACTACAATAAGCTAGCTACACTTACCGAAGTCGGACTTGACCCTTGTTGGCTTTGGGGGAAGACTGTCTTTTTATTACTGAGTTTTCTGAGGCCCTGGGGGTCATCCTATGATGAGTCCTATGTCCCTATACAAATATCTAGTGTGAACGATCGCAATAAGGCGATTCCGGACACATCAAATGACGACCGCGGCTACACTAATAAGTGCGGCCGAAGTACGTAACTAAATGCATCTGTACCTAAAAGTGGGTACCATGAAGCCTCGTTCGGGGTTCCATTAGGACCCGACGAGGCTTCGGCCACTGCCTGTCATGTCACTCTACCGAGGATAATGTCATAATCCAATCAGAAGCAGCCATCTCCGTCTCTCGCTTGACCTCGCCTTGATCGCCCCTTGATTGAACTTGATTGTCGGGCTGGCGGGTCAACAGCGTTGGAAACTGCCACTTTCGAATACCACATTATCCTTCAACATGCAATACACCTGGGCTATCACCATAACGCCGCACGACGTTCCATCGGGCTGTCTCGGCGCATCCAGCCATACACCATCCTCCACAACAGGATAACCCACTCCAATCATTGTCTTCTCGTGCCAGCCCAGCAGAAATGGCGCTACCGTCTCTTCGTAGGTATCTTCGATAGTCGCTCGATATTGCGGATCACACAGCGGCTCGTAGAAGTAGGGTGTGATTGACGGTGGTTCAGCCTGGTACATGATACTGACAATGATGACACCCCAGTGTATGTTGCTCAGCTAAACTGGCAAAACAACATAATGCATGTTCGAAATGCGGGTCTGGGGCGGGTCAGGACAGCAAAACGTAGCTGCATACGTATCCAACGCGTAGCAATCTCCGAGGGCGTCACAGATACATCTGACAGCGAAATCAATGATCGAATCAGACAGCATCTCCTTGCGAGCAAGCATCCCAACCAATCTGTCCAGCTTTACAGTGGCTGCGCCACTTGCCAATCGGAATGTGGAGCTCAGAGAAGCTCCTTCAAGCTGCTCCAGCACTTCGTTTGCCAGGGCCACGTGCTTGGCCCCTGTGGTGTCATCTGTGAGCTCGTCCGAGTCCGTTTCCACGTCGAAAAGCTCAGGATTGTCCGTCATTGCGTCCCATTTAGTCGACAGTAGCCAATGCACATCCTCCTTCCACGCATCAAGCTTGCGGACAACGTTGTAAAACTCGCTCATTCTGAACACTGCGGCGCTGAGCAGTACCAAACATCAACACAAAACATAACAACATAACAAGCAACATTGTGAGTACCGCATAGTACAACATAATGAGCAACTTGGTGACTACAAACCTGGTGAACTGCGGGGTTCCTCCGGGGAAGTAGGCGATGATCTCCTCGGTAGTGCCCTTCGGATGATTGTCATCCGCGGTTTGGTTGAAGTACTTGGACTTTGATCGCTTCTTCTTCTCCGCTTTGACCACGGCTTCCAACTTGACGACGAGATTCTTTGGAATCACAAAGTTGTAGTCGTAGTCGTCAGCGTAGACGTGATCGCGCTTGCTGTGAGCGACGCGCGAGTTCATGAAGTCGTCGTCCATGATGGTTGGGTAGTTTGCCAGGATTCCGCTGACATGGTTGCGGTCAATAGTGTTGTTTGCCCACTCTAAAACACGCGACAGCGACGGCACATTCTTGTCTGGGAGGACAATTGCAGCCAGCTTTTGAGGTTTCGCCCCCTTGACCAGCTTGGTTTGCTTCAGTTTGGTTCGGGTAGTGCGGCGCACCTTAGGTTTCTTGGGAATACGTAGCACCTCCAGGATCCCTCCCTTACTTGCAGCTTTTGCTGCCGTTTTAACACGTACGGCAGCTTTGGTAGGATAGCACTTTTTCTTCGAGGGTAACACCGCTTTGGTTGGGTACAGCTTCGGCGTAGAAGGCGATGTTGCTTTGGGTAGAAGCGGAGGGGCAGCCTTGGACATTGACGCCGACTTAGTTAGCATTGCCCCACTAGTCTTGCTCGATGTTGCCGCCAATGTTGCTTCATTGTTTTCTGCTGTAGCCTCTCGCTTAGAGGCTGAAGCCGTGCTGTCGGACCCCGCTTTATCTAGCTCCAACTCCTGGATGAAGTTCATGCTGTCAATTAAATCAGCCGGCGTGATGTCGGATGCGGTGTCAGACGTGTCTGGATCGTCGGATTCCTCGCTTTCGTCAGGACTGGTAGTAGAATCTGCCTCAACGGTCGCCAACCCGCTTCGAACAATGTCCTTCCAGGACTTCAAGGCTGCGACGAAAGCTGGGGTTGCTAATCCTGCTAGGTGCTCCATCACAGGCTCGAACACAGCTTTAGCATAGCAATATTTCTCTTCTGATGAGAGAACCACAACGTTGGCAGACGCATCTTGACATAAATAACACCACGTTGCTTTCTTGTGCACCACATCGTCTTGAACTTGTGGGTGAAGTGACCGGGGAGCTTTTGGACCCCGGGTAGACTTAACAACACAGTTAACAACATAAGAAGCAACATTAATATAAATAGAAGCACCATACTGTAACAGCAACATAACCCGTAGCCGTCGTGGCTCGTTTTCGATAGCGAGGTCCGAACGCGGTAGAGCACCAAGTTCGCGTCTTGATAGGCCTTGAGCGCTGCCTCGAACTCGCCCCAATTGGCGAAGGACTTCTTGGCAAGAGGTGGCCTCAAATTGTCGACTGCGTTGTGCGCCTTGACTATCTTCTCCCGCTCCTCCCACGTTTAGTGCGGTGGCGCTCACGATGATGTGGTGGCGGCTGGTCACTTGCTGACGTGACAACAGCCTGCGCCTTTTCCTTCCTCCCACCTTTCCCATGTTTGGGAGGTGAAGCACCAACTCCACTTCGACCCGGGGACGGCTTGCGCTTTCGTGCTGTAGCTTTCTTCCTAGCCGTCGTGGAAGTAGCAGCGGCTGCTGCACGGCGGGCACTCGACGCTTGGACAGCGGCTTCAGCTTCGGCTTCTTCCCGGGCCGCGCGTACAAATTGCTGGATAGATTCTTCGAAACCTATCTCAATAATACACCAACGCAACACGAATAGACATTAGTACAACAATAACGCTCAACATTGCAAACAACACATAGTACAACATACCCGTCACTTGCCGCTTGCTGCCAGCGCTTTTGTCGTTGTCCTCCGCCACCGAGTCCTTGTCCACCACGTCGTTCACCGTCTCTTCATCGTCCTCACTGCCGAACAAGTCATCATCGTCGATGACGGCAGCAGCCATGCCACCGTCCGACTTGGCCTTCACGTGCGTGGCGGTGGTGTCGTCATCGCCATCATCACCGAACAAGTCATCATCGTCCACTTGTTTCTCGTTCGGACCGACCGCATGTTCGACGGCGAACATGGCGCTGTTGCCCGCCATCTCTTCGCATTTCGCCTCCTCGTCGTCCTTCACGCCCCCCATGGTCTTCGCCTCCTCGTGTGAGATCGGGAAATGACTGCGGCCGGGCGAGTTCCGGCCGAGGTCTAACTGCCTTGAGCTTGCGAGAGATGGCTGACCGAGGGCTCTGATTGGTCGGTCACATTCCCCGCGCGTTAGTGCCCAGAAGATTGATAGAGACTACGGAGTGGCAGGAGGGTCTCGGCGGCTCAAAATAAACCGCCTGCCGAGGCCTCCGAAGTTTCATAGTGGGTACACATTATGCCCAGTAGGAGTTCGGATTTAGGACGAAGCTTCGTCCGATTGTAGGATCAGCTCGAAAGCTCGGTCCACACTCGATATTTGTATAGACCTTAGGGATTAGCTATAGGAGAGGCCTAAACCATTAAACAGAGCAGAATTTCCCCCCCAAGCCACACAAGGGTCAAGTCCGTCTACGGTAAGTCGCTAAGCTTAGCGTAGGGTCTGGATACACTCGGCTGCACGGGGTATGTCTGCCGGTGAGCATAAGGTGCATTGACCGAGTGTTCATCCTGGTAAGGCCAAGAGTGAGTAGGTGGCCGAGTGTTGGGAGGTATTAGAGACCTCTGTGTACAGTTGTACGTTTGACTGGGTGTGAGGCAAGGACCTCCCAGTGTATTTGACTTCTAGCCGAGGCTTCGCCCCGGCGCCCTTGTAAGAGGCTTCGATTGGCCTGGTACCCTTCCTTTCTGAGGGACCACAGAGGTTTAGTGCGAAAGCACGTATTACACATTGCATCCTAGCCGTGGCTCGTGGCTAAGGGTGCTCTTATATTTTAACGAAGGGTAAACCTACCTGACCCGCAACACACAGGGAGGCACATTCCAGCCCCTATAAGGGATCGGACCTGGTCTTCAGGTTTATTATCCCGACAATCTATCGCCGACTCTTCGGAGACGGCGTGTGTTGTTGGTAGGGCTCGTCCTAGAGACTTCGGTTGATAGGGCGAGGACTCGTAAACTCGTGTTTTCCTACACGACACTCGTCGTTCTCCACGCCCCCATGGCCTTCGCCTCCTCGTCGTCCTCCACGTCCTCCACCTCCTTCTCGTCCTCCACGCTCTCCTCCTCCGTGTCCTTCGCCACCACTTCGTTCGCGTCCTCGTCGTCCTCCTCCTCCGAGTTCTTCGCCTCCTCGCCGTCCTCCTCCACCAAGTTCTTCGCCTCCTCGCCGTCCTCCTCCACCAAGTTCTTCTCCGTACCCTCCTCGTCGTCGTCCACCTCCGAGTTCTCCGTACCCTCGTCGTCGTCGTCCACCTCCGTGCCCTTCACCTCCTCGTCGTCCTTCTCCACTTCCTCCACGCTGATTTCTTCCTTTTCGTCCGGAATCACCTCCTCCTCGACATAGTCTTCGTCGCCCTCGTCGTCTTTCGTGTAGCCGTGGGCCGCTTGGACGTAGTCAACGGTCTTACGTGGCCGTATGCTAGTGCGACGCCCTGCAACAAAACTTGTTAGCAACTGATATGGATACGCGTAAGCTTCTGTGTCGCACCTTGTTCTTCAGACGCCTCCCCTTGCGCTCCGTGCGTCGCCATCCCCGACGCGATGGTGCTGCTGCAGCTTCGCGTTCTCCCCGTTGACGTAAAACAAAATGGGAGGCTACGGCACGTCGTACCTAAACGGAAATAATGATATCACAAAAATCATGTTTTCAGCTATTGACAATTTTCACGAAAGATAAGTTGCGATAAATTACCAGCAACGCCTGTGTTGCTCCCAACGAGATATCGTGGAGTTGTAGCAGAGTTGCTGTAATGACTCCCACCAGGCAGGCATGATGCCTGGGATCGCGAACGCAACTCGCTGCAGCCCATCTGAAGGCTTCGCTCGCTCGTCGAGCTCAGACAATCCGTGCCGGCGGAAGGGAAACCACAGCAAGTCGCCCCTGCGCCGGGCGAGCGCGCGCAATCGTCTCGATAGTCCTCCATCTGCCCCGAGGTACCGATGCTTCAGCGGTCCGAAAGAAGTCTTCGTGGCATGTGCGTGCATGTACAGTAGACCATCGTGGAGATTTCTCACTGCTCGCCCCTTTGCTTAATCGCCAACAACTCGTTCCTCTCGAATCCTTTTAGTTGCCGATACATGTATCATAGATTTTTTAGTTTGGTTTAAGGGGCCACGGGGATTCGCCTCGCCTCGCTTCACTATGCGTTCGTGCCAGGAGATACGGTGTCCTTGCCCCTCGCAGAGACTAGGCGCTACGAATCCCCATCTTCGCCGCGGAAGAGCAACTTGCAATGACTACGTAGGCGTCGTCCGAGCCCGATCCCTTGCTCGCCTGCTGCTGCTGCCATTCACGCTCACTTCTCAATTCGCCGCCGCAGTCCCAGCGCCCCAAGAACTTCAATCCCGCCGCCATGGTCAACGTCTGGTACGCAGGTGCTCTCGCTCTGGCATTCGCCGCTTCCAACGCGAACGCGGACGTCTGCGGAGACGCCTCGGTGACCACCACCGACAGCGCTACTCAGTCGTCGGCGCCGTCGGCGAGTACCGTCAACCCGGAGTGGAAGCTGAGCTCCCTGAAGCACCCGACGATCACTGGCCACCGCGGCGCGCCCGGTTACCTGCCCGACCACACTATCCCCGGGTACACGCTCGCCATCGAGGTGGGCGTCGATGTCATCGAGCCCGACCTCGTGAGCACCAAGGACGGCGTTCTGGTCGTCCGCCACGAGCCCTACATCGACGGCACCACCAACGTGGCCGACCACCCGGAGTTCGCCGACCGCCTCACCAACAAGACGCTCGACGGCATCGTGACCGAGGGCTACTTCGTCAGCGACTTCACGCTCGCCGAGATCAAGACGCTGCGCGCCGTGCAGCCGCTGCCCGAGCGCGACCAGAGCTACAACGGCCTGTACGCGATCCCGACGTTCGAGGAGGTCATCCAGCTGGCGCAGAACAAGTCGGCCGAGTACAACCGCACCATCGCCATCTACCCGGAGGTCAAGCACTCGAGCTTCCACAAGGCGCTGGGGCTGCCCATCGAGAACACCATGCTCGAGCTGCTGACCAAGTATGGGTGGAACCATGAAGACGCGCCGGTTTTTATTCAGTCGTTCGAGACGGAGAACCTGCGCGAGCTTAACAAGGTCACCAACCTCACGCTCGTGCAGCTCATCGACGGCTACGACAGCGACCCCAAAACGGGCGAGGTCATCTTCAAGGCGCCGTCCGACCGCCCGTATGACTGGACCCTGGCCAACCGCACGGACTACTTCGGCTACCTCACGACGCCGGCGGGTCTCGCTGAGGTCGCCACGTACGCCGACATCATCTCGCCCTGGAAACGATACATGCTCAAGGCTGTGGCCGTTGAGGTGGACGCGGACGGCAACGCTGTGGACTCGAACGGCGACGGCCAGGTCTCGGACGCTGACTACACCATCTTTGAGTACCCGAACGTCATCCAGGACGCGCACGCCGCCGGGCTCAAGGTGCACACGTGGACGATGCGTGACGAGAACTACCGTCTGGCCGTCAACTACTCGGGCAACGCCACGCTCGAGTACCTGGAGCTGTTCGACATGGGCATCGATGGTCTGTTCAGCGACAACTGCAAGACGGCCGTGCCCGCCCGCGACGCGTGGCTGGCGGCCCAGCAGTAGACGAAAACGGCAGTAGTGCGGCCGTACTATCGAAGTAAGAAAGTGGTAGAACTGTGTAATGAAAGCATGATGACGTGCTGGCTCATTCGAGCGTTTGAGCTCGAACTTGTGGTGCACCTCTTTCACGAAACCCACCATACCGCTAAGCTAAAGCTGACAATCGCAGCAGCATTACGCGTGAATCGCTGGGGTCGGGAGCAGTACTGTAGTATTATGCCGCTTGCAAATACTTTGTCCTCTAAAATAGACCTCTAAAATAGACCACGCCTGTCTCTTACTATGAGTGGACACGAGATAGGCGAGGGCTGTTTTAGCTTTGTGCTTTGGTGAAGGCCGCTTTTAGGCCCAGAAACTCGGTTTGGCCCGTCTAGAATGGCATTTCTGCGTTTCCAAGCCGCAGAAAAGCGTTTTGGTCGGGAAAACAGAGCCCCAAGCTTGCATGTTAGACCAGTACTGGCGATATATATAAATCAGACCTAGGTCTTAATTAAGAGCTGGATGGATTAAAATCGAGATTATTGACGAGATAATAAGCATGCGTTGGCCAAAATATCTGCAAACAGCAATAGCAGCTAATGATTACAGCCGACTTCTTCATGCCAGCGCCTCATCGACGATCGTTTTCATCTCCTGAACGTGGACTTCATACTGTCCTGTCGCTGGTGACGCGGATGGTGGGCGTCCGATGTAGGACAGCTTTCGAGAGTCTCCGAGCTGCTTCATCACCGTCAGTAGCCGAGGGAATACATGAGCGTAAGCGCCCATGTTCTTCGGTTCTTCCTGGACCCACACGATTTCTGCTTTCGGATAGCGAGCAATACAGTCGGCCACTTCATGGAATGGAAACGGGGCCAATTGCTCGATGCGAGCCGTGGCAATGTCTCGGATTCCACGGCTTCGCAGGCCAAGGCGAACAGGATAGTAGATTTTGCCGCAGCAGATAACTAGCTTGCAAATCTAGATGGCAAACAGATAAGTGTAAGACACAGACCGAATAATGGGGAAACAAACGATACCTACCTCATCGTCGTTCACCATCGTCACTTGGTCGTCAGGGTGCGGCGGGAGCACTCGCTGGAACGAAGTCCCAAGCGTGAAGTCAGCCAAATCCGAGTTACACGGGCGGTGATGGAGAAGCGACTTCGGGGTGAACATAATCAAAGGTTTGCGGTAGCTGGAGGAGATCTGCCTCCTGAGCGCGTGGAAATATTGAGCAGGAGTGGATGGAATCACCACTTGCACATTTGCTCGCGTATTGGCAGCATCGACATCTTCCTCCGCCGCGAAATCATCGCTGTCTTCATTGACTAGCTGGAGAAAACGTTCGATCCGTGCACTACTGTGCTCGGGTCCTTGCCCTTCAAAGCCGTGGGGCAAGTTGAGAACGATACCTGACTGCCGTTGCCACTTTTGTTCGCCAGTAGTAATGAAGGTGTCGATCATCGTTTGGGCACCATTGGCAAAGTCGCCGAATTGAGCTTCCCATATCGTCAAACCCATGGGAGTCTGCAATGAATAGCCATACTCGAATCCAAGCACACCTTCTTCGCTGAGGGGGCTATTGACCACATCGAAGCGACCTCGCGGCGCTTTTTCCAATCCAGTCATTTGCAGCATGCTCCTGATGCCCTCCACATCAATGTTATGCAGGGGCGTGTACGATGAATTGCGTCCGGACAGAGCTTCAAATTGGTCGTAAAGAACGGCATGACGTTGGTTGAACGTGCCACGCTCGCAGTCTTGTCCACTGAGCCGAACATCAACTCCTTCCACCAGTAGGCAACCAAACGCTAGCATTTCGGCCGTTGCCCAGTCCACGCGGGCCCCAGTCTCAACAGCGCGCAGACGATTGTTCATAATGGCTTCAACCTTTCGGTGTGCAGAAAATCCTTGGGGGATCCGGAACAACTGGGCCCCAACCTGCTCGAGAAACTTTTTATCGACACCTGTCGATCTATCGTAAACTTGCTTGTCGCCTAGTTGGCAGGTGGTTGGAGCTTCCTCAGTGGGATTTGGTGGCGAGCTCTTGCTCTCCGCATACCACTCGGTTTTCCACGACGTGTCGCCCGGGTTGTCCCATCCAGAATGCATTTCACGCGAGTGGTGATACTCCGAAAGAAGGTGTTCCTCAAATGCAGAACACATTTTCGCGAAGTCCGTAGATGAGAGAGCGCCTTCACTCGCAAGTTTTTGTGAGTAAAGCTTGATGACTGTCGGGTGCTTGTTGATGAAGTGATACATGACTGGTGCTGTGATTTCAGGTGAATCTTGTTCGTTGTGGCCATGCCGACGGTAGCACACTAAATCGACAGTCACGTCACAGTGGAAAGTTTGTCGGAATTCAACGGCGATTCTCATCACCTTCGCTACTGCCTCCGGATCATCAGCGTTGACGTGAAAAATCGGACTTCTGGAAGCCTTGGCTACATCACTGGGTACGAAAAACAAGACCAGAGCAAGTTATAACCACTGCCCTACCTGTAAATCTCAACGACGAGGTGCAAGTACGTACGTGCAATACACTGCCGAGTCAGCGTTCTTTGGCAGCGTGGTAAATCCGATTTGGTTGTTGATAATCACATGAATCGTTCCTCCCGTTCGAAAGTCCTCCAGTGAACTGAATCCCAATGCCTCTCGGACCGATCCCTGGAACATTGAAGCGTCTCCGTGGATCAGAATCGGCATAACGCGACTACCATTGTCTCCTAGCTGGGTTTGGCAAGCACGCGCCTGACCAAGCACAACAGGGTTCACCGCCTCGAGGTGCGACGGGTTAGCGGCCAAATTCACCTCCAGACGTTTCCCGTTCCGCATTTCAATGCCTGACGAGGTTCCGAGGTGATACCGGACATCGTCAGAGTTGTTCGGGTAATCCGGTTCATCTGGCAAGTATGGCTGGAACTGAGAAATAATGGAGCGCAGAGGTCGCTGCAGAACATTGGCAAGGACGTTTAGACGGCCACGATGAGCCATTCCCATCTGCACGACCTCCACACCGTGGTCACTGGCGCTCTCCAGCAATTCACAGAGACCAGGAATCAAGCTCTCGCCTCCTTCGATAGAGAAACGCTTAGCTCCGGAGAAACGTCGGCCTAGAAATCGCTCGAAGAGTTCTGCCTGCACCATTTGGCGCAGCATATCAACCTTCTCTTCGTCGTTATGCACATTGCCCTGTAACGCAACGATGAATGCGAAAATCAGAAACATATCACCATCTCGACCACCCTCTTCGCCGCACCTTGTACTTCTCCAGGCGCTCACGGATCCATAACGCAGCGTCACGGTTGCGCAGGTGTTGGTACTCCAGTCCGATGTGTCCACAGAACAGTTCTCGCAGCTCCGTCACAATCTGCAGTCACAGCACGAGCGAGCTCAAACGTCAGACACGACCGCCCCATTCCTACCGCCAAATGACGCAGTTTGCACCTCTCGCAGTGTCGCTACAGGCCCAATTGAAAGATCTTGCCCGATGAAGAACTCGCGGTCCAAGTCACTGGCCGTGAAGCCTGCACAAATCACGAAAAACAGACAGCGTCAGCTTCAGGAGCCTAAGCAGATGGTTGCGACCACCGACTGCTTGGTACCGTGCGTCGTGAGCTCGAGCAGATTCTTGGACGCGAGGCTGCGCAGATTGAACTCGTCGAAGAAAGGCGTCTCTACCCAGCGGTCTCCGTTGATCCAGCGCTCCAGCTCCGGCAGCTTTTCCCCTGCAACAGCAGCAGCAACAAAATACACGTGAGTCTCCTCGTCGTGCGTCTCCACGCTCCTCGCGCAAGCCTTACGTTTCTGCAGTGGGTCGATCTGGGCGACGTAGTGTCCATACTATCAAAGGAAAAATACCAGCAGCCTGTCAGTTCTGCCTTTGAAGCCCCTGAAGATCCACCAGCGTACCTGCTTGAAGGTGCGGATCAGCAGCAACACACGCCGTGTCTCCTCCTGCGAGCGGCGGATGTCGTCGCTGAGCTTCTGCACCGGTGGGGCGGTCTCTTCGCTCTTCCAGCGACGCAGAATCGCCCCAACGGGGCGTACACGGCCGCCGCGGCCCGCTCCTCCCTTGCGCAGCACGCGCAGCATCTCTTGGATGCGGTGCAATGAACGAGTGCGGACTGTCAGAGTGATGGTCTATTTGGTGTACATCACATTATCCACCTTTTCGAGTTGAAGCGGCGCGGCTGCTCCAGGCAGTGCCACACCAGAACCACCGTCGCCACCGCCATGGAGACGTCGAGCGGGGCCTTCACCGTCTCGCTGCGGTCGCTCACGTGGCAGCCCGAGGATGTCAATGCAGAGACAGCAGAGCGCCAGGTCTCGGCCTTCGTGCAGCTCGTGCTGCCGTCCGAGCAGCCTCTCGAGAGCGTCTGGTTCTCGGCGGAGGACGACAATGTGATGACCAGAAGCGTCTCCGTCTCGAAGCAGAGCAGCGGACGGAGACTACTATTGGACTACTGCCAGAGCTCGAGGGCCGTGGCGCTCACGGTTGAATCCATGCAGGAGCTAGTGCAGGCTCAGCTGCTGCTGTCGCTCCACTGCGGGACGGCCAGGGCTCGCGCCACAGATTCGCTACTGAGCAAGACGCTGGTGCCGCTGAGGACGGCGTTGCTGGGGCAGACGAAGAGACAGCAAGTAACTCTCGTTTCATCCGGGGAGACGTTCGTGCTTGACCTCGAGATTCAGTGCGACGTGGCGCTGGCGGACTTTATGCTCGGTGCGAGGGTGCTAGAGCTACAGCCGCCGTGTGTGAGGAACTTGCCTGCGGAGTGGACGTTCCCGAATTGTATGAGCAATGAAGAGGCTCTTCAGATCTGTGCGGCGGCGGACCAGAACACTGCTTGTTATGATTTTGACATCACCCTGCCACAGCTGGGAGCGAAGGATGGCGCTGCAAGTAACGCTGGAGAAGGAGCTGCATCGCCGTATCAGTTTGATGTCACGACGTTGAAAGGAGGAAAGCTCTGCTTCCAACCGTCCCTCTCGGAGAGTGATAAGGAGAAAGGAATTCATGGAGTAGCTGCGCAACCGCCCCCAAGTGGTGACGAGCAGCAAGAAGAGCGGCCGCCATCTCCTGTTTCAACGCTGTCGGGGGAGTGGAGCGTTCAGTTTCCGGGAACTACCATGCTATCAGTGCTATATTTCAAGGTAAGCATTTGGACAGCTGTGCACTCTATGGTCCGTCATTCTTACCGTTCCAGTTCAACTAACAGGTTCTTTGTCCCCTAGAGCTCCGTTGACCGCCTCACTGAATTTCTCACGGTTGATAAGCATGTGGGTGGAATTCTACGACGCAGCCCCGCGGATAACTCTAATGGGAAGGCAATCGATGCCGTCTCAGCAGAATTCCGATTGCATTTGGCCGAACTGTTGACGCCTGGTACAACGAAAATTCTCCCGAAAGCCCCACTGCGGGCCATCTCGCCTGTTTCCCGAGCATTTCTGGAACAGGAGTTAGCCGGCGCTCAAACAAACGATGACAAAAAGAAGTTTCAAAGTGCTCTAGCAGACTACGAGACAACCGTGCAACAAGCAGCAGCTCTCACTGCCGTTGCAACCTCTGTAGGTACGCACATCGAAATTGCCGCGGAGATACTCGACACAGCGCTCGTACTTCAGCCACCGCAAGATCTGGAACCTCCCTCAAAAACACTAAAGGAACTGATTCCTCCGCGTGATTTGGAAGCTGAGAGCGAAAAGAGGCGTGATATTTACGGGGACTTGCGAACGGAGATCCGCTTGGTGGTCGTCAGTCTTTTGCGTGAATATGAAGACGTCTTTCGAGCAAGTGGCGATAAAAGACAAACAGCAGAAGATTATGCAGCCGATATCTCTGCTTTGCGTGATGAGAAGAAGCAGACTCTCATTTACCGACTGAATACGCAGGGGGTATATCACTCCTTCAAAGAAGCACTGAAGAAGCGAATTGTGCCCGTTATTCGAGAGTCTTTCGCTCGTACTGAAGTCGAGCCTGACGACAATGACGAAGACAGCCAAGCGCAGCCGGACGAGAAGACGGTAGAAGAGAAGAAGAAGGAGCAGTTTGGCCAGCTCTACACGCTTCTCATGCAGGAAGTGAACGCGATTCTCCACGAAACCTTCTACTCAGACTCAAACGCACTCCTAGAGAACGCACATGCAACGGTTGAAGGGCGCCCAACATTGAAAGAGATTGCATCGGTGCTAGAAGTTTTGCGGGTCAAAACTGTGGAGAACGAGGTGAGTGGGGATTTTGAGAAGAGCGAGATGCTTCATTTGGACCGCATTGCTTACGCAGAGCAGCATGCTGGTCATGCTCAGGAGCGCCCAAAGCCTCAACATCCTGCTGATGTGGATAAGGCAAACGTATCCCAAATACTCGTGGGTGTTTGGTACGACTACGCGCGCTTTTGCATTGCGCAGGCTAAACTTGAGAAGGCGGGGTCGGCTTTGCAGCAGTGTTTGCGCCTCGATGGGCATGCAATCCAGCCTCTGATCACGCTCGTGGCTGTGCAGTGCGAGCTTCGAGACTTTGCGCGTGCAGAGGCCCTCGTGAAGAATGCTGTAGTGGAGGCGAAGGCCGGAGTTCAGAAACACCCCACACATGATTTCGAGCATGGTGCGCTTGCTCACGCTCTTCTCGCCTTCTTTTTTTCACAGTTCGAGGGGAAAGATCCGACAGGGAACTTGACAATGTTTGAACTTCTCAAGGCTCAACAGGCGCTGAAAAGCCATACTGGCGGAGGCCAACGCAGAGATATTTCTTGCGTGAGCGCAGTATGGATATTCCTGGCTGAGTACGCGCATGAGTGCAAATTGTGGGGACTCACCGAGCGTGCGTTGCAACTTGCGGATACTCATTTGAAGTCGCGTGATGTGATCGGCGGCGAGCTGCGAGTGATGAAAAGAGCCATGGAAGCTGAATTGTGCCTGCGAAGCGGTAGCGATGGAGAGGACGCAGGAAGTTCTCGTGCAATCAAGCTACTACAAGAGGCTCTAGAAATCGATGCATCTCATCCCATTGCATGGCTTACGCTCGGAAAAGTGTATCTACAACAAGACTCGCAGACCAAAACGGCGATTGAGTGTCTACAACGCGCATTGGAGCATCGTGGAGCCATGAGTGCAGAGTCATTACGACTGGGACTATACTTGCGGCTCGGTTTAGCACTTCTGCATTCCCAACAGATCGAGGTGGCTGAAACAACGTTCCTGCTGGCGTGTGATGAGTTCCGGGTGGCTTCATGTTGGCTTGGCGTAGGAATAGCTTGTCTGCGCCTCGAAAAGTGGGAACGCGCTCAGATGGCTTTGTCCGAGGCCAACAGGTTGGACCCATCAAACCCCGATGTCTGGGCATACCTCGCGCTACTTGCTCTCACAGCCCACGGGTCGGTGAGTGTTCGTGATGAAAAGGACGCCCAGCAGTTCGTCTCGCAAGCGCTACGACATAACCTCAGCAACCCCGCTCTACTCAGGGAGCTCAGTAATGCGTTCGTGGCGATCGACCGTCTAGAGAGTGCGGAAAAGCTACTGCGACGTTCACTCGCCTGCCAGGACTCGTCTCTCACAAGAAAAACGCTGGCGGATGTACTAGCCGCGCAAAATTGCGCCGAGGATGCACTTCGTCAGTACACCCAGTCACTGGATGCAGCTGAAGACGTTGGGGAACGCTGTGCTCTGTTGGAGAAATGTGCTCAGTTGCTGACCACGTTAGGTAGACCAGAGGTAGCAAACGAGTACCGAACCATGGCAAGGCAATTTCAGGCGGATGGTATCTAGCAACGATCACTTTGAGAGACGAGATGATAATGTTATTCAGCAGGATCGGGTTTTGGAAGATACTGTAGTGCCCGCTTTAATTTCTGTCTTTGCTAGGCTACTAGCTGAAGCTTCGCTGCCGAAGGAGATGCAGGAGTTGCAGTTCCTGTTTCATCTTGAGACGGTTTTCGAGCGATGATGTTGCTGAGGTAGCGGTCGATGTTAGAGAGCCCCAGCAACATTCCATCATCGGGTGTATCGAGCGAAGGGCTCATTTGGCTGTGCGCGAAGTCGATGAGACGCACGTCAGCATTGGCGGGTCCGTAGCTTTGATCTCCTTCGTAGATGAGAAGCAGAGAAGACCCCCAGCAGCGCAAACCTGTTGTTTTGGCCATTACACTTTTTAGCTGGCGTATTTTGACGAGCAGCTCTTCCAGTGCATTCCAGCGCAGCGTGAGGCCGCTCGTTAGGTACTGCACACGTATACATAGCAGTGTGGTGTTAGTGTCGTGATGGAGACTATGGAGACTGCCCCTCAATGCTCTGTGGAGTGATACGCACCGTCTCGAGTGCTGGTTCGACGTCTTCGGGCTTGAGCTGTCTTCCCCAGGTCTTGTCCCAAATTGTGTAGGTGCCGTCGCGTTCGTCGTAGATCTGCATGCCGCAGAGCCGCAGCCCAAGGGCTAGCGACGTGGTGGCGGCACATTTGGCTGTGTGGGATATCACTTTGGCGGGCGAGGCGTCCTCCCCGTGCTGACGCGTGCCCATTTTGATGTCTAGAACGCAAGGTCTACGAAAGTTTCTGGTGAGGTCGCCCAACACGAGGTAGTCCTTCGTGTTGCCACTGTCTGCACGGGTCAAAGCAACAGCACAGTCACCTTTTGCGGTCTTCTTGTTCTTCTTCGCTCGCTCTTGCTTCCAGAGTTTCGCGCTGTAGCCCCCTTCCGACGTAGGCGGCGCCAGCGGGTTGGACGCGCTGTACTTGCCCAGACGGCGCTTCTTCCCGAAGGAGCCTTTGCGGATCTTCTTGGGGGTCATCGGCTCGGTTGGGGAGAGCGGCTCTATCGGAGGCGTTGAAGAGGCCTGCGACGAGGAGGGGGAACTCGGAGACTCGCTCGGCGTCGACGTCGTGAGCTCCACCTTGACTTTCCCCAGGAACTGCGGCACGAACGGACGCAGCTGCGGGAATTGCGGAGCTAGCGCCTCGTAGAACTGGAGCTCGAGCGCGACCACCGGCTTGCACACAGAGCCCCCGCCACTGCGCAGAAACGCCGTGTGGCCTCCCGCCTACGGTAACGACAGATAGATCAGTGTCTGTGTGTATGAGTGAGACAGAAGATAGAGAAGCCGCTGGCTCACCTGATGATTGTAGAGGTAGAACCGCGTGCCGTCCAGCGCTCGCGCCACGACCTCATTGGGGCCCACCAGTTCCTCGGCGTCGGCGACGGTAGCGACGTCTCTTTTGTCCTTACCCTCCTCCTCCATCACGTAGCTGCTGCGTGTGCTCTGCGCCACCAACTTGAGCGCCTGCTCCTCCAATCTCCTAGTGGCAAGGAGAAATAAAAGGAGCTGAGAAGGAGCGGCGACATGCCGAGAGCTTTTCTTAGCTCGCCGATAAATAGATGAGGCCCGCGACGAGCTCTCCTTGGGCGCGCATTGGCGTCTGAATCTTGCTGCTGGACGTTTGCCGGACGCTTGATTCGAGTCGCAGCATTCACCTGATCTTCGCAGCTTCAACGACAAGATCGGTGTAGCCATTCCGTTCGTCTGACACGTCATTTTTTCGTCTGATGTCACTCTTTCCGTCACTGAAGCGAGGACCCATGGGCCGGCCCACGAGCCTGCGCCCATGCACCACATTATCATCCCGCGAGACAAGCTCGAAGCTCACCAAGTCCCGACGCCAAGCTAAGCGAAGCCCAGCTCCGCCCACGATGAACCTGTTCCGCCTGGTGGGCGACATGGCGCACCTGGCCAGCTTCCTGGTGCTGCTGCTCAAGCTGCTGGCCTCCCGCTCCGCGAACGGTGCGTCCCGTCCTGTCGCTATGGAGGCTGTAAGCTCGCAACTTACCTAACCGGGGCTGACTGACTGTTGCAGGCATCTCCCTCAAGACGCAGGAGCTGTTCTTCCTGGTGTTCGTGACCCGCTACGTGGACCTGTTCTTCCACTTCGTGAGCGTGTACAACACCATCATGAAGCTGCTCTTCCTGCTCTTCTCGGGCGCCATCGTGTACGTCATCCGCTTCAAGGAGCCCTTCCGCAGCACGTACGACAAGTCGCACGACGCCTTCCTGCACCTCAAGTTTGCCGTGCTGCCCTGCGCGCTGCTGGCGCTCGTGTTCAACGAGCAGTTCGAGGTCTTTGAGATCCTCTGGACCTTCTCCATCTACCTCGAGGCCGTGGCCATCATCCCGCAGCTCATCCTGCTGCAGCGCCACGGAGAGGTCGAGAACCTCACGAGCAACTACGTCGTGCTGCTCGGAGCCTACCGCGGCTGCTACGTGCTCAACTGGATCTACCGCGCGGCCACCGAGACGTCCTACCACTTCATTTGGCTCATGTTCATCGCCGGCATGGTGCAGACGGCGCTCTACGTCGACTTCTTCTACTACTACGCGATCAGGTGCGACCGCTCTCCCTAACTCTACAGCTGCTGTTGTCCAATATTGCACATTTTGCTAACCATTCTACTCCATTCGTTATTTTCCAGCAAATACCACGGCAAGAAGATGACGCTGCCCTCTTAAATAGCTATTGCTGTAGCGGAGTGAAGAAAGGAGGAGCAGAAGACTACAGTGAAGACCGCGCGCTTCGGAGCTGTGCTCTAGTTGAAGTCAAGTTTCTGCCACTCGGCAGGGCTCTCGCAGCGCGTTTGAGAGATTAGTAAAAGAAACACGCAAAGGCAACAGAGGAGAGTGCGTTGCTTTTTTTCGAGTGTTCTCGCTGTTGTATTTGAGCTTTCGTTTGTTTGGTTGCTGTGTGCCTCTGCTTTTCGTCGTCTGTCGGCAAAAAGAGTACTACAGTAGCAGCAGCCTAACCTTCCAGAAAGCTGAAGTCGCAGTGCTTGGAGACGTGGTCCGCTGCCATATCTATCCGATCCACGTCCTCACGGCGGATCTTGGCCGTGAACTGGGCGATACGCGCCGTGATCGTGTAGCTGTCTGCCTTGTCGGGTGAGACGTAGATGCACGGGATGTTGTCCGCGTCGAGACGCTGCGCGAGCTCAGCGCTTGGCGGGTTCCAACCAGTGAGAATGAGGCCGGACCTCAGATTCTCGCCGTGAGAGGTGGACGCCTCCTGGTTGCCGATGATCGCGTCGATCACATCCTTGCGGCCGCTATGCTGTAGACACACGCCAACCCGCGTTAGTATCACGTAAATATGCAAGCGCAGATCCACCCGCGCATTCCGTTACCGTGATGACGAGTTGGTTCGGAATAGCCTTGAAGCGGTTGTTATCGTCCACTGGGGCCAGTGCTAGCCTGGTGCTGCTGAAATAGCGCAGACTGGCATCTTTGCCTACAGTTTGAAACGAGATGAAAGATACGCTGCTAGTCAGCATATGTGGATTTCGACCGAGGATCGAAGGCACTTACCGGACACTAGCTCCGACTTGAGCAACTTAGCGTAATCCGCCATGGTCGGGCAAGACAGGTCTTTCAGATCCGGGATGCAACCAACGAGTGGAACGTCCCAACGCTTAAGTGCTCGCGCGTAGTAGTCCTACGACAACAAGACCCAGTAAGTAATATTCGCACTGCAATCGCAGCCCGAATTTCCATGCGCAAGCGCACCTTGATCATGTCCATCTTCGTCGGGTTGACCTTGTTGAGGATCACACCCCGTAGCCGGACGTTGTTCTGCTTGAGCATCTCTCGGTTCATCGCCAGCTGATCGAACGACGAGCCGAGCCCGCCCAGCGCGACACAAACAGCGTCCAGCTTGAGCTCCGCTGCCAGCAGCAAGCACCAACAAGCGTCCATCAGCACCATGCTACGCCGCCCAAGCACAACCTTCAACTAAACCGTACCTGCAACTTGAGCGTTGTTGAGCTCGCAGATGGAGCCCACGCCCGTGTGTCCAGTGCCCTCACAGATGAGGAAGTCGCTCTGGTCGTACAGGCGCTGGTGCGCGGCCTTGATGGAGTCCATGAGCTGCTGCGACGTGACCTTCCCGTCGACGAAGTCGCGCGTGAAGCCGTCAGGGAAGATGACGGGCGACATGTCCTTGTAGTCCTGCACCAGGCCAAAGTGCTCCTTGAACAGGAACGCGTCCTGCAGCACGACAGTCACCAGTCAGTCGGATACTACACCGTGCATCATCACACAGAGCATTGAAGCTGCCGCCCGCACCTTGTCCACACGCAGCCCGCCTCCCACGGCGACGTGTTGCTGGCCCACGGGCTTGCAGTAGGCCACCTGCTTGCCAGAGCCCTGGAACTTGGCCTGCAGCGTCTTGACGAGCCCCAGACTGAGCGTCGTCTTGCCCACGTGCTGGCCCGTCGACAGGATGAGCAGGTGCTTGGTCATGCTACTACGGATACTGCTGCTGGGAATGACGCTGCGGGTTCCGGAATGGGGCTGTGCACGTCGAGAAATAGCGAGCGCCGCGCTGCTCGGCTCGGCGTCGGCTCCGGCGTTTCAAGTGATGATGCGGCGTTGAAGCTGAGCTCAGGATGAAAGTTGCGCTTTCCTGTGTGCCGATTGGCTGAACATCCGCAGACATATGCTCAGCCAATCGGCGCGCGGTAAAACGCAACTTTTGCTGATCAAATTCAAATTTTGGACGCCATAGACGCACAGGTGCAACTTCTAGCGGCGACCACGGCCATGGACGAGCTCCTCGTGTGCTTCGTGTGCTCGATGGACATGGCGCCCTGGAGCGTGGCCGACCGCGAGACGCACCTGAACGCGTGTCTGGACGCGAGCGCGGCCCAGCGCGTCGACTGCCCCACGTGCGGCCAGGAGCTCTCGGATTGCGACGAGCGCGCGCGCTCGCAGCACGTGAACCGCTGCCTGGACAGGGCGGAGGCGGCGGCTGCAGGCGGCGACGCTCCAAGCAGTGGACAGCAGCTGGAGGAGGAATTGACAGTGGCGGCAGAAGTTGTGGTGGCGGCTGTGCAGGAAGAGAGCGTCCGTGAGCAGGAGGAGGAAGACGACGAGGAGATGCAGACGCAGGTGGCAGAGCTGACGCAGGTGCAGGAGGCGGAGCTGGAGGAGAAGGTCGAGGCTGAAGATGAAGAGGACGAAGTTGGTGCTGAGGACGACGATGATGCTGATGCGGACGACTACGACAGCGAGAGCGAGTGCGGCTACGTGTGCAAGATCTGCGGCGCCGACATGTCGGAGATCGACCTGATGCGGCGCATCCGTCACGTGAAGCAGTGCGGCCAGAAGTTCGGCGTGCGGCCCGGAGACATGGGGGAGGTGGAGCAGGCGGATACGATCGTTGCGAGGCTGGAGAAGAAGACGGAGGAGGAGGACAAGAGCGCGCCGAATGCGTTCGCCATCATGATGCAGTCGGGGAAAGCGCCGGCGCCGGCTGCTACAATTGGTAAGTTCGGCTCACTGGAAGTTGTGTCTTAATCCCAGGCTGACCCCGATCTATCTCGGCTTGATGGAATTCAGAGCGATCAAATGTCTTCGATGTTCTGATGCGCGGCTCTAAGACGGAAGCTGTGCTCAACGCTAGGAAGCGGCCGGTGCCGTTCAAATTCACTCGCAAGGCCGTTCAACGACGGCGTCTGCTTTATCCCGAGTTCAAGTGCATCCGAGGCACAAACCCGCCGTTCATTGTGGATGGATTCCAATACGCTTGCAAGCAAAACTCGAGCATTTATTTCCTGACGCACTTCCACTCGGATCACTATGGAGGGCTCGACAAGGTGAGTTCGCTCACGGCCTTGAGTTGTTCATAGGGTTTCACGCTAAAGTTGCTGCATGACTTTCGTTAAACAGCACTTCGACTGCGGCATCATCTACTGCAACGAAATAACGGCAAAGCTGGTCGTCCAAGAGCTCGGAGTGCTGAGTAAATACGTCCATCCAGTGGGGATGAACACGCCTGTGCTGGTCGGAGACGTGCAAGTGACCTTCATGGACGCCAACCATTGCCCTGGCTCAGCGATCATCCTCTTCCGCCTGAAGGACGGAAAAACTTATCTGCACACTGGCGATTTCCGATTCCATAGGAAAATGTTGGACTACCACGCGCTTCAGCCGCACATCGCGACCGGAGATGAAAAGATTGATCACAACGGAAAGATCGTCGGCCTTAGTCGTCTCGATGGGGTGTATCTGGATACCACCTACTGCGACCCGAAGTACACTTTTCCAACCCAGCAAGTTGCGGTCAATCATGCTCTCGAGCTCATGGACAAGCACTTCAAGCAGGAGAAGGTGCTCTACCTCTTTGGGTCGTACACGATTGGCAAAGAGCGGCTGTTCATGGAGGTTGCGCGCAAGTTCCAGAAGAAAGTGTGCGTGTCCAAGGCGAAGCTGAAAATCATTGAAACGTTCGGTTGGCCCGCCAAAGATATGCAGCTTCTGACCACTGAGCCCGGCGCCACCAAGTACGAACAAGTGTTTTGGTTGTCAACTGATGTTTTGGTCGTATCTAACGCGCATGTGTTATTGTTGTGTTTACGATAACAGCCTACACGTCGTTCGGATGCAGGACCTTCAGATGGACAACTTAACCGTTCTGCTGGCGAAGCACCGGCTTCGATTTCGGCGTATCGTAGCGTTTCGCCCCACTGGATGGACCTTCAGCAGCAAGAATCCGCGATCGATTTCGACTTGCTGCACGGACCCATCGGGCAAGATCCATGTCTATGGCATCCCGTACAGCGAGCACTCGAGTTTCGCCGAGCTCTGCGACTTTGTCCAGGTGGTGAACCCGCACGCCATTATCCCGACGGTGCGTCAACTCGTTATAGCCTTCGAATCACTCTGCTAACACGACCTCGTCTTTCTTGCAGGTGAACTGCAGCAACAAGCGGCAAGCCACCAACCAGGTGAGTGCCTTGCGCCAGGTCGCATTCCACAACATCTCGGCGCTGTTCAAGCAGCAGCAGAAGGAAATCAAGCAGCAGCTGAAAGACCTCAAGCAAGAGCAGAAACAAACTCGCGAAGCTCTCAAGGCCCAGGACGCCGCCCATACCGACAGCACCGAGAGCCACGAAGATGCGTATTCAACCCGCTGCGAGCAGGAACTGCACGCAAGTGCGCCCCACAGTGTTGTTGACTCAGTGCAGTAGCTGCAACGGCGTGTATTTGTAGACTCCGCATTGTAGACAAACAAAGTATCTTACACTGAAGCGATAAACGTATTACAAGTATTCAGTATTCATCAAAGTGCTGTTTCCAACAAAAGCCGTACATTTACCACCGCATGAATCCTTGTTAATACTGCCAGTGAGTCTCGATCGCATTGATTCTTCAATGTCAGCACGAGTAATGCAGTGACAGTCGGTCCGTCACTATCCAAGTTCTTCTCGTTCCTTCAAACTCGAACATTATTTTTTCCATGGCCAAGTTCTCGAGCGCTTGTCACACCAATTGATTCTCGACCAGCACAAGCCTCTTGTGCTGGTCGAGAAAGACGGGTTGTGGAAAGATTGAAGCTCCGCCCGCGAGCTCCGCCAAACCCCGAGAGCTCCTCACTTTTGGATTTCCTTCCTCCCGAGCAAGTCAGTCGCCTGTACCTGCCCACCGCCAACACCAACACCAACCATGACTTCGTCTGTCCGCCGCCTAGTGGCAATGTTCGAGTCCCCCGTCGCCGCCCGCACCACGACACGCGCCCCCGAAGCGATCAGCCGAACGAGAGTCGCAGCTCTCGTCCACTTTTACGGAGCGTCGTCCACCATCGCGTCCACTGCCATCGAAGCGATCGATGCAGTGCGGTTCGCCGCCTTTCCCAACCCGCATGACCCAGCGGCGGCGGCAGTGGAGCCCATCGACCCGCGCTGGTCCATTCAAGTGATCGACTCGGCGAGGTTCGCCGAGTTCGGCTACCCGCACGCAGTTGTGACGGACCCCACGCCAGCAAGCGCCTCCCCAAGCTCCACCACCACCACGCCTGCCAGTGCCCCACCTGCTAATGCCGGAGCTGACGCTGCTGCCGATGAGTGCAACTTCATCAACGACGAACCGGAGGCAGCTATCCACGAGCCCGAACAGACTCAACCAGCCCAATCTGCCGTCGCTGCTGGCGAAGAAGAGCTCCACGCCCCAGATCTCGACGATACCAAGAAGGCCTTTGCTGCGGAGCCCGTGAAACTACATGTAGAGGTAGAGCAGATCGTGCCGCCCAACGAGCCCGGCAAGAACGACCGCGACCCACGCGCTGTCCCTGGCAAGCTACCCTGCATCACACCGCGCACGTGCCTGCCAATTTACGCTGCAGCGCCGCGAAGTCAAGGCATCAAGTCTCGCCTGTTTGATTTCGAGCGCAACCCAGCCTTCAACCGGCAACGTATGCTGGCAAAGCAACGACGCGCCGCAGCAGCAGCACCGTCCAAGACACCGATCTGGAAGCTGTGAGCGCTTCCCCTGATCAGCTTCGCGTCCAAACTTCATAGATTGTAGTTCATGTAGTTCATGTAGTCCATGTAGTATCGTAGTCCAATCCCAGTTCGTAGCCAACACACCTTGATCAATAGACTCGAGAATCGATGATCATTTCCTGTCCTCAATGTCAACGACACGCACTGCTCCATCTCTTCATCACTCCGTCCATGTCCATGCTGGCAGAGCAGCGTAGCTGCACGCTTCCAGGATTCATCATCTTGTAAGTAGTCTCCCCGACGTATCCAACCCCTTCCCGATGCCTCCAGCACGTTGAGCTCAACCGCGTGGCGTCCTAGACGCTCGAGCAGGCCTCAGTCAAGAGCTCTTTGACGGTTCCTGGCGGAAGAATCCCAAATAGACGCAAACTCGCCCAAAGCGTCGCACTCGAATTCGCTCCAAGACCAAGATGGCGTCTCGAGGTCGCGCGGCCGACAGCCAAGTGCTCTCGCTGGACTCCAATGAGCCAGGACGACCGCCTTCGAGCGCGGGTTCCTCGCGCCCCAACACGTCCGGTGGGCGGTCCAAGAAGCCCAAGCTCAGCGAGTTCCGCCAGTACCTGGAGAAGGAGGAGCTGCCGCTGCTCATCGAGACGCGCCACGGCGTGCGCCGCGTGACGTGGACGGCCAGCCTGAAGCAGATCGACTTCGCGCACTTCCTGCCCATCTGCCTCAGCGGCCTGCAGGAGAAGCTCGAGCCGTACCCGTCGTTCGCCTTCGACGCCGCCGTGGGGCTGCTCGAGAGCGGCCGGCGCGACACGCGCGTGCTCAAGGCGCTGCCACAGGTGGTCCAGCAGCTCAAGAGCGCCCTCAGCACGCGCGAGAAGGCCGTGGTGCATCGTGTGCTGCTGGTGCTGCAGCAGTTGGTGGTCTGCGAAGGCGTCGGCTCGGCGCTGGCCGACTACTACCGGTCCCTGCTGCCGCTGTGCAACATCCTGCAGGACAAGCACCTCGGCACGGGGGACAGCGCCACCAAGGAGCTCGTGGCCGAGGCGCTCGAGACCATGGAGGCCTACGGCAGGGACGACGCGCACTTGGTGATCCAGCAGTATGTCCCAGCGTTCCAGAGCTGCTGCGGCGCGTGAAACAAATGCAGTAGCAAGACTACAGAGCTCGGAACTCTATGCACAAGAATCGTATTGCAGGCGCTTCAGGCTCTCACCTTCCTCACCAAATACACTCTGCATCTCCCACCCAACTCGCTGTTTATCTACAGAGCGCGTGTGGCTTGGCTTAAATGCGGGAGCGCGGGTGGCGGTAGTCGCGCATCTCCTTCGGCAGCGACGTCGAGACCAGGTCCTCGAGGCTGTGGATGCCGTACTTGTTGGGCGCGCCCGTGCGCCAGAGCTCGCGGGCGTTCAGCTGGCCGTCCGGGTTGAGGAACTCCACGCCCATGTACTGCTGGTGCCAGCGGATCATGAAGTCGATGCGCGGCGTCGGGAAGTTGCCCAGCATCTCGGCCATGTTCTTGAGGATGCACAGGCCGTACGGGATGTCTTCCCAGAACAGACGCGAGTTGAGCGCGGGCTGGAACTGGCCCTTGGACACCTCCGTCAGCGGCGTCGCGCAGCCGGCGTAGCCCAGGTTTGTGCGGAAGATCTGCAGCAGCGACGAGCGGTCGGACACGTCCTTGCCGTAGTGCTTGACGACGCGGTCGCCCATGGGCAGCACGTCCGACAGGTCCAGGGCGGGGAAGCGCTGCAGCAGCGCGTACTTGACCTGCTGCAGCTCGTTGTCCAGCATCGTCAGCTGCTCCGCGGAGAACTCGTCAAAGTCGGCGTCTGTAGCAAACAAGGCAACAATGTTATGAGCCACCAATACCAAATAGGCTCTTTGTGCTGCTAGACGTACACAGCGTGAGGCCCTCGCGCTTCTTGAGCTCCTCGTGCGTGTAGGTGCGCTTGCCGTCCCAGTCGCGGAAGATGGCGTAGTAGCGCGCCGGGTGGATGATCTGGTTGGACGGCGTGAGCGTCAGGTTGAGGAAGTTGGCCACCGTCTTGCACGGGATGTCGAAGAGCGTCTGCATGAGCGACGCCGCCTCCTCCTTGCACTCCACCGGGTAGCACGCCACGTACAGGCACTGCTTGGGGCCGATGATGCGGCACTTGTGGCTGTCCAAAAGTGCAGAGGTCCAGCGTCAGTACAAGGATCACCTTTCCAGCAGCAGCACTTCGGCTCACCCGTATTCCGTGGCCTTGCAGATCCACGGGATGTTCTGCAGACCGAAGAGCTGTAGAGGCAGACAACAGGCAAGTCCAGTAACCAGAGGTCAGTCGTCAGTCCACAGCTCATTATGATACATCGTCGAGCAGCAGCCTCTACGCACCAGGTCCACGTTGGCGAACTTCTCCTCTCCGAGCGCCTTCTTGGCGGCCCAGTCGAAGCCGCCCTGCGCGAAGAGCGCGCCCAGCTTGACCCCCTTCTTGAGGTAGGGCGACACGTGCTCCAGGATGGCCGGGTGCGCGTTGGCCGGGGCCGCCACGATCACCACGTCGGACTGCGGGATCACGTGCTTGGCGTGCTTGGACACGAGGCTCAGGCGGCCCGTCATGACGCCCTTGGACTCCCAGCTGCTGCCGGCCGTGCTCAGCTCCAGCGTCTGCGCCCAGCGCTCGGGCTGGCGCGTAAGCACCTGCACGCGCACGCCGTTGGACGCCAGGTAGGCGGCCGCCACGTGCGCGCCGTTGCCGCCGCCGCAGATGGTGACGACGCCCACGCCCGCGGCGGTGGAGGGGACGCGCTGCTTGAGCTCGGCGCGCGCGGTGGCCACGGAGAGGGTCATAGGAAGGGGTGGAGGGGAGCGCTCTGGTGCTTGGATGTGAAGATCGAATGACGTTTCTACCGGCGCGAGGGACCGGAACGACCTCTATATCGCGTTAGATGTGAAAAATTAGTAGATACGCAGAAATAATAGCAGTGCTGTACTGCATTAGCGAATCATATATGTATACTGTAGCATTAAACGCTGTATCTGGACCATTAGTGATGTTGAGGTTATAGAGGGTGATCATGGCTTTGTCCGTCTGTTAAAGCTGATAGTTGGAGGAGTGTGGGACGACACCATGCGAAGAGGCAAGAACTCAGGTTGCTTGGTCTACATGGACATTTTGCTATTGTCTTCCACTATCGAGGTCGTCTCCCAGCTAGTGGAGCAGCACCGAGGCCTGCTGGTGCGTCTCGGCTGTCACGCGGATGGCGAACAGCTCGTTGAGCTCGTCCTTGCTAAAGGCGAACGCCACGGCCTTGTCGATCTGCTCGATGGCGCGCGAGTACTCCTGCATCGCCATGTACACCTGCGCCAGGTGGCAGTACGCGAACTTGGAGCGCGGGCACATCTCCACGGCCTTCTCGAACAGCGCCAGCGCCTGGTGGCCGTACTCCGTGCCCTTCTGCACCAGCAGGTTGCCCTGGTTGATGTAGGCCATCGGGTACGACGGGTCCAGCTCGATCGCCTTCTCGAACATCTCCTCCACGGTCTTCAGGTCCACGGCGCTGCCCGGGGTCTGCAGCATCTGCATGTACGTCTCGCCGAGGTAGTTGTAGATCTCCGGCACGTCCGGCGTGATGCGCGCCGCCGACGTGAGGTACTCCACGGCGCCCTGGAAGTTGCCGTTGCGCGCGTGGGTCACGCCAAGCTGAATGTAGGCCATGGCGAAGTCGGGCGCAATGGTGATGCACCTCTCGAGGTCGCTGAGCGCAGCGGCCATCGACGACTCGTTGCTCGTTCCGTCCGGCGACACGTCGATCGAGTGGAGCTGGCCGCGGTGGAAGTACGCCGTGGAGCACTCCGCCTTCTCGGCGAGCGCCTTGTCGAACCACTCCAGCGCCTTCTTCAGGTCCTTTTGGTCGAAGCACAGGCCGCCCATGCGGATCTTGGCAAAGATCGAGTGCGGCTTGGCAGCGAGAGCCTCCTCGAACGACTTGCGAGCGAGCTCGAACTCGCCGCGCAGGTGGTGGTACGTTCCGTTCTCGATCTGGGCCGTGTAGTACGCCTCCTCGTCGGGATTGACAAGCTGGCACGCAGCCTCCAGGTCCTTGGCGGCCAGGTCGTACTCCTTCTCCTTCTTGAGCGCCAGTCCGCGCTTGGTCAGCAGCAGACCGCGCTGCTGCCGGGTGTCATCTCCGGCCTCGAGGGCCTCCAGCTCCGTCGTGTACTCCTCCGAGGTCTTCTGCGCCACAATGTCGTTCTCGTCGTCGCTCGGGTGGAACGAGGAGTAGTACGACGTGACGAAGAACTGGTCGGGCAGGTAGCGCTTGGGGTTCTGCTTGTTCTGCTGGGCGTCCTCGATCTCCTTGACGGTGATGTCGCTGTGGATGCGGCTGATCTCCTGGGCTAGGTTCTCGTCCACCTGCTCCTGCTTCTCCTCCGAGATGACCAGCAGACAGACGTAGTCCACGAGCGACCCGCGCAGGTCGCCCGCGTTGGCTCGGGCCTTGGCGCGGCGCAGGTAGGGCTTGGGGTGCCTCTTGTCCAGCTTCAGCGCCTCGGTGCAGTCCGAGATGACGTGGTCAAAGTCCTGCAGCTTCTCGTAGGCCGCGGCGCGGTTCGAGTACATGACCTTGAGGTTGCGGGCGTCCAGCGGCTGCTGCTGCTCGCACTTGGAGATGGCCACGGAGTAGAGCTCCACGGCGCCGTCGTAGTCCCCAGCCTTGTACATCTTGGTGGCCAGCGTGGCCTCCTGCTCGCCGACGTTGGCCGCGGGCGCGGGCTTGGGGGCGGGGGTCTCGCTCGCCTTCTTCTCCTGCTCCTGCTGCTTGGGCTGCTGCTGCTGCGCGGCGGCGGGCTGCGCCTTGGGGGCGGCCGCCTGCGGCTGCTTCACATCCTCGACCTGCTTGTGCTGGCGCTTGCGGAAGATGCCGAAGGCCACGAACGCGCTGATGGTGGCCAGCGACGCCAGCACCGCCAACTGCAGGAACGCGCGCTGCTCCATGGCCGCACGTACGATCCAGATACAAAAGTCAAATAAGCCGAGGGTAATCGAGAAAAGGGGAGTTAGAAACGTTTCTAATGGAGGACATCGTCGTCACACGAGTGGAGCTCCAAGCAAGCGGTTGTGTGTTTGAGAGCAAGGTTCAGGTCGGCGCTCACAACGCAACGCCACTATCGGAAGAATTACGCTCGCGTCGAAAGGCGAGCGTGCGTCAGCCGCGACCACACCAACGGAATGGCCAGGCTGTACATGTTCTTAATGTCTGCAGACTCTACGGACTCCACACCGTATAACTTCAAGACAATGGGCGTAAACCGAGAACGAAACTGCGGTGATGCGCTCATTATCGCGACTGCGCGACGCCTTGTTCAAGATAAACGACAATGAACTGACCTTGCCTACAATATACAGTAGTTGCTATGAATGACATTCTACGATCCAAAGATGCATCCGCTACAATCGATCTCCTGAACCACACAGCAACCTTCCGGCTTGGCCACCATAGCAGAGATAAACTTCGAATCTTCTGTTGGTTTTGCAGTCACCACGCCGTATCGCATTACTCATACATACTGTACAACCGACCATTGAATTCAAACTTTTTTGACAGCTACGCCTGTAATTAATCGATTAGGTCCTACTTCGTCGAGCTTCACGGCACCACCACAATCGCTGGAATGTATCTGTACATTGGAGTGCGAAGAACCACTGCGAGCTGAAGAATAGGCGGGCATTCTTGGAATCGATATGGATCGGCGGGGGCGAGCGGTGGAGAGTGGTGATACCATTTACCTCAACAATTTCAACTGACATGAAGGCGGTAAAAGGTGAAGTCGCCGAGAAAGTAAGCGTGTAGTACCGGTACAACGATACACTTAGGTCAAATGTCCCTGGCTCAGTATAGAATGCCACGCTGCGTCAAAATTGCTCAGCCAAGCGTCCAGGATGAAACGGTAAGGTGCTGGATACCAACAATTCTTACGCTAGTCGCAGAACTAACAAGCGGTGAAACTCAGCTACCAACTTACGTTAACTCCAGGAGCTGGTTAGACGAACGGGTTCGGACCTCCAGGCTTATCCAGAGTATCGAGAAGATCCCCCGTGAGAAGACCGAGGATCACCAGTAGAACAAGACACCGTCAAGAACAATAAAGAGTTGGTTGTTGAGAGAAAAAAGCGTAAGATCACCACGATTTTAATGCCCAAAGCCAAATAAAATCGCTTACTTCACTTCTGATAGCTGCCAACTACGTCTTGCAGGAAAGTTTAGTCGCCTTCGCGTGACTACAAGTCTGACTCATACCTAGATCGATACTGCATGACAGACCGAGAGGTTTTAGCGAGCAGAGCTCACCGTAGACCTGACGAACATTTTTTGGGTTTCTACGCGAAGCCATTTCTGTCGCGTTTCTAAGGAATCGTTTTTACGGCAGCAGCGCGTAATTACGTCATCTGATAACCAATGACTGGCGCCCGCCTCCGAGCCTTTTGGCTGGTGGCGAAGTGTCGAGTCAATGTCGGTTCAAGGGCACGGGTGCATGGCATTCCCCAACAGTGCAGTGATCCGTCGGTCGTGAGCAAGTTACTCCTTCAACAATGTCTGACGCCGCCGTGAACCCCAAGGCCTACCCGCTCGCGGACGCCAAGCTGACCGTGTCCATCCTGGACCTGGTGCAGCAGGCCACCAACTACAAGCAGATCAAGAAGGGCGCCAACGAGGCCACCAAGACGCTGAACCGCGGCATCTCCGAGTTCATCGTCATGGCCGCCGACACGGAGCCGCTTGAGATCCTGCTGCACCTGCCGCTGCTGTGCGAAGACAAGAATGTACCATACGTGTTCGTGCCCTCCAAGGTCGCCCTGGGCCGCGCCTGCGGCGTGTCGCGCCCCGTGATCTCCGCCTCGATCACGTCCAACGACGCCTCGCAGCTGGGCCCGCAGATCCAGAGCATGCGCGAGCAGATCGAGCAACTCCTAATTTAAGCGCCTCGACTGATTGCCGGCAGACGGTCTGCCTCGCGCTGCTGTAGCTTCATTGCCGCCACTACCTGTGGTGCTGGGCTGCCGCAGCCGACAGACCTTTTGGTGCGCTAGTCAAAAGTGCACAGATAACTGCTGAACAATGCAAACTCTACCCAACCGCATTTTGCGCTGTTCCTACACTCCACTTTTACCCCGTTGTTGATTTTCTTTCGAGTTTGTCGATGCCAATGATGTTGTTATCGAGCTGGTCTAGGTCGCATTCATCAGGACGTACTCGCGCGTGCTCTCGCCGAACTTGAGCACGTCCTTCTCGCGCAGCTCAATGTAGCGCGAGTCCTCGATCTTGCGGCCGTTGAGGAACGTCGAGTTGGTGCTGTTAAGGTCCATGATGTACGGCCGCACCTCCTGCGTGAAGCCCAGTCCGTCCTCCGTCTCCTTCTGGTACATTCGGTACTGCAGCACGGCGTGCTGCTTCGAGCACGACGGGTGCTCCGTCAGGATGTCGGCCACGGCCTTGTCGCGGCCGATGAGGAACGCGCTCTTGCGGTGCACATGCAGCGTCGCTGCGTCAACGTCACAGACACAGCAGCTATTAGTCAGACAAATAACTCGTGGAAACTACAGGCCCATCCAGCCGCCTCACCGATGTTCTGGTCGTCCTTGAACACGTAGAACCGGTAGCGCTTGGTCGGCTGACGGGCCTCGGGCGGCTCCGAGAACTTCATGACCACTCCGTTCTGCATGTTGCCCGTGGCCTGGTCCTTGGCGAGCGCCCCCGTGAGGCCGAAGTTGGGCTTCTCCACCTCCACGGGCTCCTCCTCCTTCTCCTCATCCTCCTGCTTGCCCCACCTGCGTCGCGACAGAACACAGAACATTGGACCATTAGCACAGACAACAACTAATCAGCCGCGTCATGTCGCGCAGCCAGCGACCGACGCACTGGACGAGGTGGGAGAAGTCGCGCGTCTTCTTGTCCTGGTTGCGCTGGCCCCGGGGCGACCGCGTCTTGGCCGCCTCTCGCTGCTCGCGTCTGCTACGTCGGGGCGGCGACCTGGACCTGGACTTGGACCTGGATCTGGATCTCTCCTGCCAGCGACTGCGGCGGCCCCCAGACGACCGACGCGGCGGAGATCGCGAGCGCGAGCGGCGGCGGTGGCGCTCCATTTGACCCAAGCCGAAAAGTTGAAAAGTGACCCTCTCCAAACGAATTCACTTGTGCTCAGTATGCTGCGCAGCCACATTTGAGTTGAGTTGAGACCATGGAGCGGGACGTCGGAGCTCAAGCCCAGGAGCAGCAGCAGCAGCAGCAGGAGGAGGAGACACTGGCGCAGCTGTTCCAGCAGATGCGACTGCAGGACGCCACGGAGGCCATGCGCGCGTGGGACTCGGGCAAGCTGCAGGTGGAGCTGGCGCTGGCCTTCGCGTCCGTGGCCCACGCGCCCTCGAGCTTCCTGCAGTGTCTGCAGCTCTACGGCCAGCTGCCGGGCAAGGAACTGCCGAACGCGGCGCAGTGGGTCGAGACGGCCGTGGGCTGCATCAAGGCGAGCGCCGACCCGCAGATCTCGCAGGCCGACAGCGCCCTGGCCGGCTCCATGCTGCCGGCCTTCAAGCGCTCGCGGATGCCGTTCGTGGCCGACTTCGCGCTGGCCTACAGAGTGGACGCGGAGGCGCTCACGGCCTTCTGCCGCCTGCTTATCAAGATCCGCGTGGGGCTGGCCGCCCACTTCATGGACTGCCTCAAGATGAAGCACCTGCTGCCGACCGAGCAGGTGCTGGAGGCCGTCATCAAGCAGAAGGACTTCCGCACGGGCGACATGTTCGTCAAGGGCCAGCGGGACAAGCAGCAGCAATTCGTGCAGATGCTCATCGACCGCAACGTGCAGGACAAAATCATCAAGAAGCGGCTCTCGCTCTTCAAGCTCAAGGCAAGCGCCTTCCCAGTCTACTTCGACCGGTACGCAGCGGTGAATGCTCGCGTAATACGCCTCGGGTGTTCATTAGGTAAACTGTTGTCTCTTCTTGTGTTTGTTTTGGTATAATATTTGATTACGAGTAGAAGGCAGAAAGCCACGCTGCGGTTCCTCGTCTACTCCAAGGAATACGAGCAAGCGCTGCAGTTTGTCGAGAGCTCCGAGGACCTCAAGCTGTACGCGTGCAAGATGATCATCCGGCACGCTGGCCCTAAAGATCCCGCCACCAAGCAGTTTGTTTTCCGGGCAGGACTGGCGGAACAGTTTCTGGAGGTAGACACCAGCGCAGAAGACGGCAAGAGTTTCAAGGATAACGACGATTTGGCCCCTCTTGACACGTGCCTATCGCTAGTTGACACCATCGGTGAAGCCAACATTATCTTCGTGGACACTCCGGCGGCGTTGCAGGCGTGTGTCGACCACCTTGTGACACAGCCCGCGATTGGATTCGACTCGGAGTGGAAGGCCGTGCACATTTCAGCCGACCCTGTGGACGCTCCAGCGAAGTGCGCGCTCATGCAGCTGGCCTCTCGCGAGAAGGCGTTTGTGGTGGATGTGCTCGCGCTCTACGACCACGGACACATCTTGGCCCCTCTGTTCCAGTCGGACTCTGTGGTAAAGTTGGGCTTCGACACGAGGGGCGACGTGAAGGCGCTCCGGCCATTTCTATCAGGAGGGTATGCCACGGAGCACGTCATGTCGATGCTGGTAGATCTGCAGGCTGTCACGAAGAAGCTTCCGGTAGTGAAGAGCGCCGCTGTCTCTGATGACAAGTCGAGGTCCAGCGACGGCGAGGGTGACAACAGCAACGGCAGCGCGGACAACAGCCCCGCAGCGAACAGCGAGGCGTCCGGATCCGACTCAAAGCCGAGGAAGTGGAAGAAGAAGCGCAGCAAGACTGACGAGCAGGACGCGCCCGCCAAGTCCTCTCGCCTGGGGCTCACAGCCATCGCAGAGACGTACTTGGGTCTGCCTCTGGACAAGCGAGCGCGCATGTCGGACTGGGAGCGCCGCCCACTCACGCCAGCTCAGCTGCAGTACGCCGCGCTGGACGCCCACGTGCTGGTCCAGATCTACTACAAAATGCAGGAGCAGCATCCGGCCGACGCGTTCGAGGCCGTCTTCAAAAGGTGCACGCAGAAGCACGTCAAGTAGAGTGTTAATAATGTTTGGGCCAAGTTGAAGTGAGCGCACAAATAACCGTACTTTTCACTATTGGACCGCACTTCTTTCCGTATTATTGACATGGACGCCACCTGGCGCGGACTTGCGCTGGCGGATGCGTCCGGCGCGCTGACGCCCGAGGGCGCGCGGCTGCTGGAGCAGGAGCTGAGCGAGGAGCGTCTGGCGGTCATCACGCTGCTGGGTCCTCCGTCCACGCGCGCGGCCAGACGCGAGCTAGTGGCCAAACTTCTGGGCCGGGAGCACCCTAGTGGGGCTAGCGACGACGCGCTCGTGCTGCTGGCCAGCGTCGCGTACGCGGACGAGGACGAGGACTTCCAAGTGCTGGTGCTGGACGCCAATGCGTCCGAGAGCGAGGCGTCCTCCTCTGGCCTGCAGCAGCTCAGCGGGGCGCTGTGCGCGCTATCGTCGCTGGTCGTCTCGTGCTACGACGAGATCGGCGGGTCCACGCAGTGCCTGGCGCCTTCGCTGCCGCAGTTCCAGTCGCTCTTCCAGACGCTCGTGAGGGAGTTCGCCAGTATGGAGGTGTACGAGATGCTGCCCAAGATGCTGAGCGTCGACTGGTCCCCGAGTCGCTCGCTGACGGACAAGCTGGCCGACGCCGAGAAGCAGAGACCAGACGCGAGCGTCGAGGCGCTCGAGGGCCTCATCAGGTTCAAGTTGAAGGGGGTCTTCTACCCGCGTAGCATCGCACCCATGAGCTTCGAGGACTTCTTCGGACCCCACGCGACTGTCAAGAGGGTGTTCGGCCTGGAGATGACGGGGGACATGCTCAGCGCGATGCTGCGCAAGCTCTCGCAGCAGGTGCTGGAGCAGGACCCGCTGGACTTTGGCACTGCGTGGGACGACTTCGTGGAGGACAGGTGTCGCCTGCTGGCGGAGGACGCGCTCAACACGTACGTGGACTGCGTGCACCCTTCCGTGCTCGAGCACCCGCCCATGGAGCTGGACGCGTTCAAGCAGCTGCACGAGGAGATTTGGCGCCTGAGCATGGATGTGTACCACTCGGCCAGCAAGTACAAGTCCTCGCGTCACCGAACCGTTCGCACCAAGCTCAAGGCGGACATCCGCGCACGCTATGAGACGGAGTTGGGCGTCCTCACGCAGAAGTCGCGCAAGTACTGCGAGGAGCTGCGGCGGACGTTGTGGACCGAGCTGCTTGCGCGCGCTACTCACGCGCGCGAGGGCAGCACATTCGCCGCGATGCTGGCTGCGATCCAGGAGTTCGACAAGCACTTCAATGAGAAAGCGCGCGGCCCCGAGAAGGCTGATGTGCTGCGAGACTTTTACCAGACTGAGGCCATCCAGGCCTTCCAGCAGCTAGAGAATGTTGTGACGCAGCAGTTGAGCGAGTCGCGCTTGGAGGAACTGCGGCAGCAACTGGAGAAGGACTTTGGAGACAAGAAGGAGGCTTTGGTCGAGCATTTTAAGCATGAGGAGGCTCAACTACGCGCTGGGATGGCGCGTGACATGGAGACGATGCAGAAGGTGCACGAAGCCAAAGCCGCCCGAGCGAAAATCGACGGGAGTGAGACCAAACGACTGCGAGAGGAGCTGAGCGACTTGAAGCGGCAGAATGCTGAGCTGCAGGAGAAGGCCATTGTCCTTGAACACTCACAACAGGACGCAACGAACCAGAAGGCGGTGTTGGCGGCAAAGGTGGATGAGCTGGAGGTCGCTGTACGGCGCGAGATGGCGAGTCGTACCGAGTTGGTGGAGACGCTTGCACTGACGATAAAGAATGCCGAGGAGAAAGAGAAGACGCTCAACGAGAAGATCGCGGAGCTTCAGCTAGAGCTGGGCGAGAAGACGTTCCGTGTGGAGGGCGAGCTGCAGGATCTGACGCAGCAGTTGCGGAAAACAAACGAGGTAAGTCTCCATTCATGATGATATCTATTTGTGATGCTGATCGAGCAGCTCACGTTATGCGATGTTGCAACCCCTACCAGGAGAAGGAGGAGCTCCAGAAGAAGCTGAACGAGTTTTTCTTGAAGGTGACAGCGCTGCCGGAGTCTCTCCAGCAGCATCTCTTCTGCATGGAAAGTGACGGCCAGGTTGAGTTTGCTGACGCGCTTACGAGCTTCATGAGCCAATAGAGACCTAATCAAGAGCTGCGGACGAACAGTAGAGTTCACACGCAGCCTGCTCTACATGTAGATGTTTCGTGTGAACCGGTCCACAGCAGCTCGAACCACGGGCGATGGGTGCTGCTCCTGCATCTTGTCGTAAATCTGAAGCAGCACGTGTGCGTCCAGCGCTGCGTAGTGAAGTTGAGCTCGCGTCAGTGGACGACCCTCCCAATCTGACATGCGGACGCGCTTGTCGAGAGGCAAGCCCAGATACGTCTCTGCAACTGCTGACAGCCCCTCTTTGAATGCCTCATTTCCAGTCGTGCTGCAATTGTTATCGTCGCCGCATCCAGCGTAGGGATTGTTTGAGTTGACAGAGCTCCCAGAGCCACGCAAATTCCGTGCGACTGCTTGCAGATCAACCAATGCTGTTATGGAGAACTTTGTGGTGCCCCCTTCGGCCAGCAATGGGCGAAAAACCTTTACGTCGCCCGTCGGATTGAAGCCCAGCTTCAGCACTTGGTCCGACTGGAACAGAGGAGCCAAGATGTGGTCGTGGCCACTCAGTTCCACCATATCAACGACGAAAGCTTTGTCGCGAGAGGCGAGCTGGATAAGGGCGCATGGGGCGGTAGGATTGTTCGGCTCTGCACAGACGCGAATCGCCTTCCACTCCGCGTCAAACCCGACGACCGGTTGCTTCATTAGATACTGAGCGCAAGACCGTAGCGCCTTCGGAGCTCCCACAAACACAATGTTGCTCTCGCCGATGGTGTCCACCAGCGAGAGGCAGGAGTCTAGCTGCTCCAGATCGTCTTTGTTCTCGAAAGCCTTGTCCTCTTCTCCGCTTGTGTCGATCTCAGGGAAGTTTTGAATCAGCCCCGACCGATACACGAACTGCTTCATGGCAGGGTCCGCGGCGCCTGCGTGCTGGATGATCGTTCTGCACGCGTGGAACTTGAGGCCCTGCGAGTTGGCCACAAACCTCAGCGCCTACTCGTACTCCTTCGAGTAGATGAGGAACCACAGCGTGGCCTTCTGCTGTCTGGAGAGTGCATACATACCAGTTAGTTTATCTCCTCGTAGTATAAAAACTTGGTCCACCCATTGCTGGCCACCGCCGCCTGGGCCCACTCCGCCACGAGCGCCGCGTCGCTGTCTGGCAGTTGGATGTAGTAGCTGAGGCACTGGAGGGACGCGGAATGGCACGCGCGCGAAGGCCGTCGAGATCTCCAAGTGGCGGCGCTATCGGCCCAGGCAGAAGACGGCGTCCGGCACGCGCATCTGCGCGAACAAGTGCGCCAGCGGCTCCTAGTAGTAGGCGGCCACCGTCGCTAATGCACTGAGGGCCTAGCAGCAGCTAGTACGTGGACGTGGTGCGACAACTTCCAATGTGACTCGACTGTCTCGGTGGATTGACGACGCACTTCAACTTGGTCAACTTGGCCCTTTCGTAATTTATTTAGGGGCTTGTTAGTTTATTTTACCCGGCGATGCGAGAGCTGGGGAAGGATCCGCTCACGTGGGTAGGAGCGAGGACGTCCTGGCCTGGTCGAACTGATCGATAGCTGCATGGCTCACGTTTCCGTGTCACCCTTCGCCAGAGCTTCGTGAAGCTCTTTGGGCTGCAGGTGGCGCGCGACCTGCGCGAGTTCGAGGGGCTGCCGGCGAGCCACGCGTGGCGGTGGAAGGCGGCGGGGCTCTGGCGCGCGCGGCTGCTGACCAAGGCGCAGTGCAGCGGCGTCGTCGTGTCCGTCGTGGAGCGCGCCGACCGCGGTGAGGACGAGAGCTGGCTGGCAGCACTGCACAGAGTGACTGATAGAGTATGGGGTTTGTGTGTGGACCAGTGGAGTTCCTGGTGGACGACGGCACTGCACTCGTCAAGGCGGTCGTGTGGGGGGAGGGCGTCCAGGCGCAAGCCGCTCTGGGAGACCTCGTGCACGTGGAGGGCAAGCTCAATGTGGACAAGAACTGGGACGCCGTCGAGCCGTCAGTAGACGGCAGCATTGAAGTCTCGGCCGTGGATGGATGGAGGGAGGGCTAATTGTTGTTGGTTGCTCGTAGTTCGCGAGAGCTGCGCGTCCTCCGCATGTCCAAGATCGAGGACCCGAACGAGGAGCTGCTGCACTGGGCCCAAGTGATGGAGCTGTCGCAGAGTTATTACTCCTCTGGAGGTGGGGAGGCCCCGGATCCAGCTTCAAAGGCGAGCAGCAGCAGCGGCAGCACAGGAGGGCGGGCGCAGTGGGAGGACATCGCAGCCGAAGCGTTTTTCAGCTTGTCCGTGAGCCCCAGCAGCCAGCAGCAATTCTTAAGCCGAAGTGACCGTCACCCCCACGACAGCATTTTGATGAGGACGCTCGAGTCCTTGCTATTCCGACAGAAGGCGAGCGGAACGGAGGAGGCTGTCGACGTCACGTTCGGGGATCAAATTGCTGCAGCGGAGCGCGACGCGGCTGTGAGTGTGGAAGGCGGCACTGCTTGATCGGCTCCTTACTGACTGGTGCTTTTGACGGCAGGTCAATGGTCAAGACGTAGCGACCACGAAGAACCAGCGGGTTCGAGCACTGCAGTTTGCCTTCCGAAAGCTTCGTCAGGCGGGACTCCTGTTCCTGGAGGACGACGAGGCAGATCGCCATATTCTACTGAGCTTTGAGGCAGCGCTGAAACCCGCGCTTCTGCAGCTTTTACAAGGTACGCTACCGAGAAGATTGAATCTACCGCTGCAACTGCCTCATCAACCAACCTTTTTTGCTTGCTCAGGATGCTCGTCAGGCCGCTCTATCGCCGAGATCGCAGACGCCGTGCTCGCCCAGGAGCGATTCAAATGCATCTCGCTGCAGTGGATCGAGACTGGCCTCGAGCATCTTCTGGTGGCCCAATTGCTCGTTCAGAGAGAAGATTCACAGCTATTCTTTATCAAGAGATGAATGGGATGGCATAAAACTTACTACTACACTGTGCTACGTGCATGCATGCGTTCATGGTGTTGTCGCCTCCAGATAGTAGACCCACGGAGGGAGCTCTTTCAGCTGCGGACAAGACACGAAGAGCTTGCCAGTCTCACTCGCGCCTCCTTGCGTCGTCAACTTTTCGCCTCTCGCAGAGGAAGGCGCCGGCTGGTCGATCTTCACTGTAATAGCTCGAGAGGACTTTGCAGGGATGGACAACGAGGCCGTCGACACCACGAAGCGAGGGTTGTCCACCATGATCTCAAAGTCCTTGGGCGTCGAGAAGACGTTCTTGAACTCAATGTCCTTCGACGCCGAGAAGACGAAAGGACCTTGAGGCAGCGGCGGCACTGACATTCCTTGCAGTGTGCACTTGTACTCGCCAACGCTGTCCGAATAGAGCGTAAGCGTGTCTCGGAACTCGCCGATAGCTTCAGGCTCGAACTTGATGAGGATCGACTCCTGCTTCCCCTCCCAGGACGGCGACCCCTCCACCTTGCAACTCGTTGGCACGGAGAACGACGTTGGGTCCTGGACGGAGCACGACAGCTCCGTTGCCGTCTCGGCGTAACTCGTGAAGCTGAACGTCTGGGTTTGAGAGCCGCCGAGTGGGGCCTTGAAGTACAAGATGCGCTCGGGTCCAACGGATTGGGTGCTCAGCACCAGGTTGTACGTGTACTCGCCCAGCTCCACGAAGCTGATCGTCAGTCGGTCCTCGATGGGCGTCTCCGAGTGCAGTGTCGGCCGGTACTCAATCTCGTACGAGCCTTCCGAGCGGCCGCTGATCTCATTGATCTGACGCACGCGGATCGACGGACTCGAGCACTTCCACCAGTGGACTTTGTCCAAGAAGTTGATCTGGCGCTGGCGCTCGAAGGGGTTCTCGATGGAAACGGTCTTCTTGACCGACTGCCGCACAGGGGCATCGAAGTAGAGCGTGTCCACATCCACAGCCTTGGCCACCGCTACGCGAACGTCTTGTGCCAGGTATTCACCGCTCTCTTGGTTCACGAACCGTAGAGCCAAATCCACAGTCCCTTCAGTGTAGCAGAAGAACTTCATGTTGTAGTTGCGAGTCACTCCAGCATGCAGCAGAATGGAGGATGGCCCCTGTACCACAACCGACTCGAGTCCTGGAGGTTTCTGGATGTCCACAGCAAACGTTTGAGGGGTCTTGAGCCAGTTCTTGATCGGGACGGAGATCGACAGCGTCTTCTTCGCTGCAGTGGAGAGGGAGATGGCGGGAGCGGGCAGTGGCGCTGAGGCCTTACCCAGCACATTGTACAGTAGAGCACTTCCGTCGGGAATGGCCAGGAAGATCGAGCCCTTGTGGATCGAAGGACGTTGCGAGTCAATTTCTTCCTGCGAGTTCTGCTTCGTCATGGTCAGGGGCAGGTACAGCACGTCCAGGTTGGCCTTGCCGTGGGCTGGTACCAGCACATTCTCGGGGCAGGACCAGTGGTCGCCCTGCACGACTGGGAAGAGGTTCCACGGGAAGGCCGTCGCGTTCTCGATCGCAATCGCCTTGTGCGATTCCTGTCGGACGGCGGAGTCAAAGTGGACGTCTTGGATCGAAGACGTCGCCTGGGGCACACACGAGCCCACCAGCGTCAGCGTAGCGGGGACAGTCCCATCTATCATGCACGTCACTCGCTCATAGCGTATGTCTGGGTTCACTGCTGCCGGCTTGAAGGTCACCTCGATGGTCTTGTGCTGGTTCGGCGCCACCATGCCTTCCACGGGCGACACGAGGAAGTCGGGGGCGAACTCGCGGACGCTCCACTGGAACTTGGTGGCGACATCGCCGCGGTTCTGCAGGCGCACCTTCCTCACGAGCTGGCTGCCTAAGCAGACCGCTCCATACGAGAGGGTGTCGGTCTCCAGCCCCACCTCGATGCCCTGGCAGCAGCCCGACAGCGTCAGCAGCTTCTTGACGCTGCTATCCACACGGATGAAGACGTCCTTTTGGAAGCTCGGGATCCGCTGCGTTGGGGCGAATCGGAACTCGATGTCGGCGCTTTCCTTCGCTCGGAGCGAGAGTTCGTGCTGAGGGAAGATGGAGATGCCCAGGGCCTCGAGCGATGGAACCCCCGGCTGTGGGGAGTCCACACACTCGACCACCGTCTTCCGCTTGGACCGGTTCGCGATCTTGGCCGTCCGCGAGGCTTGCTGCCCGATCTGCAGGTTCCCGAGAACGACCATCTGCATGGACGAGTTGACGAGCTCAACCTTGGGGTAGACGCCCTCTCCACGGATACTCACGTTGACTGTGGACGAGCCGTTGATGGTGAACGGAACCACTTCAAGGTACGCCACCTCCTGCCGCGCAGTGAACACGATTGGGATGTTGATCGTCTCGCGCGGCCCCAGCACAGTCGGGGGACACTCGACGCGCAGATGCGGCTTCTTCTCGAACAAGCAGTCGAGGTCAATGCCGCTCTCCGGGTCCATGTTGAAGACGGTGAGTGTCGTGACCTCCGCCATGGGGGCCGAGTCGTTCTCTGCGATGAAGCACGGCCCAAAGTCGTGAGATGTGAAGGAGAACTGCAGCATCGGAGGCACCGCGTTGCCCTGTAGCGCCACCACGTAGTTGCGAGAGCCCGCGACGGTGCACGTCGCCTGCGTCCCGTCCACAGACGTCTGCTTGGTCGGGGCGAAAACGAGTCGGCAGGTGGCTTTGTCGTTCTTCTTGATCGTCCCCTGCATGGGCTCAATGCTGAAGGCTGCGGGCTGCTTGGCCACGCTCCAGTTGAAGTCGAAGTTGAACTTACCGCTGTTGTGGATCACGACGGAGCGGTGCGCTTCCTCGTTCACTCGCACAGCCCCAAAGTCTAACACGTTGCCAGGTCCAGGGAGCAGCGCCCGACTCTCGTTGTGATCGTCGGACGCCAGCGTTAGCGCGTCGTGGATGCTGTAGCCCTCCCCCTTGACATTCAGAGACAAACGCGTGGGCTTGCGCTTGATGATGCAGTTCAGGTTGAAGCTGTAGGACTTTTCCTCCGTCGGGATGAATTCGATCTCGATCGACGTTCGGCTGTTGGGTGGGATCACCCCGCTCAGCGGGTGGACGATCAGAGCGGGGACTTCCCCAGCGAAGTCCAGCGACGTCTTGTCAAACACAAAGTTGAAGGGAATGTGCTCCTGGTTCACCAGCGCGATGCTCTGGGACGTCTTCGTTCCAATCAGCAGCGTGTTGAAGTTTACACTGCCACGATCCAGCGCCACGCGAGGCTCCGTGGTTGTTCCGACGAACAGAAAGAGCTGGTTGACTTGGAAGTGGGGGATTTTGAAGAACCAGAACATTTCCTGAAGCTCCAATTGCTGTGGAGTGAACTCGAAGATCATCTCACACCGCTTGCCGGCCAGCATGAGGCCCTTGGGAGTCGCACATCTGAAACACGGATTGGTCTCTCCCTGGGGCATCCACGAGAACTCGTACGACACGTTGGTCGGGTTCACGACGTAGAATCGACGCGTGTTGCGCACGCGAACACCCAGAGACTCCATCTCAATCACCTTCACTGACGGATCCAGCGGTCCGAGTTCACCATGGGGCCCAGCAAGGTTCGGCGCTCGCCACTGGGCGTAGTCGCTCCTCTTGACGTCGAAGTGGCAGGCAGGACGCAGAGAACCCCCACGGACGTCCACTTTCAGCGCTGTAGACTTGTCCCCTAGTGCGTCTGGGACATCGAAGCACAGCCAGTAGAAGTACTCATCCACCTCCATGGGCGCGAACTTGATGGTGAAGGCTTGACTTTCCTCCCCTTCAATGACGCCGCTTTCAGGGGTCACTACAAACGGGCAGTTGTCGTCTATTCCTGCGTAGATCGGGGGATAGCCGACTGCGTCGGACTGGCCTGGATGTCCCTCCTCCCACCTCCACGAGTACACCAACTTGATCTTGCTCTTGTTGTGCACTGTGATTCGGTGGGTGCACACCTGCAGCATGAAGGTCTTCCGAAAGGCGATCGACGTCGTGTCGCACTCAAAAAACAGCACGTCTGCAGCGGCGAAGCAGCTCAGCGCAATGGTCGCTGGAGTTCCAATAGTGTCGAACTCGGGCTCCGCTATGGCCTGCTTGGAAACGCTGACAGCTCCCGGTTTTCCATCGAACGAGATCGTCTGAATCGACTCGTCCCAACCACTTTCGTCACTTTGACTTTGACTGGCAGAGCTGCCCTTGTACGAGATCCGTTGAGCCTGCAGCCCGATGCGATGAGCTTGAAAGATGATCGCCTTCTCCCCGTCCAGTCCGGGCTCAAATGTCGCTCTGATGAGTTTGTGAGCTTTCGGCTTAAGGTGCCCAATGCCGGGGGAAAAGTGGAATGGATCCGCTTTGGGCCACTCGAACCGCACGATGTCCGACGACTGGTTGCAGAGCGAAAACACTTTCGTGTCTTTCACCACAAGAGCCGAGTCATTCAATGGTGCGGATTCCTCCTTGGTGTCGTCAGAGGAACTGGGATCAGGAAGGCGAATATCGTCAAAGTACAACTCAGCATCGTGTCCTCGAGGCAAGTCCTCAAACACCAGATCTTCCCGGTACCCAGTCCCAAACAACTTGAACGTGGTCTCTTCGAACGGGTTGTTCTGCACAGTGAGCTTCAGTTGCGAGGTCGTTGGTTCGTCGTGAACCTTTTGAGGTCGGAACTGCAAGGTCAGCGTCTCGGTAGCTTTAGGCGGCACCACCACGGAGCCATTGCCCAGCGCGAAGAGGAAGTTGGGGTTCGTCTGGATGGAAAAGAGCACGGTCGCGGGGAGAATCCCGTCATTGCGCAGCGCCAATCGCATGTCCTTGGCCTTCGAGGTCCGCACTCGACCAAAATCCACCACCAACGCACCAGTCGATTCCCTGCTTGTGGGCTCCGTCACAGTGACACAGGGCATCGTTCCTTCCCCGCGCATCTCGAACTCCAAAAGTCGATCGGCCACGTTGCTTTGATGAGGACTGTCGTCGACTTTCGCTCTGAAGGTGGCGTGGAACAACGCAATAGTAGTTGGACGGAAGTAGACACTCACGAAGCGGTGCTCGAGAGGAGGAATCTCCCATACCGCCGGTTGCACCGTGAACGCCTGCGACCCCTCCTCGGATTCTTCCTCCCCAGAGCTACTAAGACCTGTTACAATAGAGAATTGCACCGTGCAGCTCACCTTCATCAGGTTGGAGATCTTGAAGCGCTCCACCGTCCCCTTCCAGTTTGCCGCAGCGATTAGAGGCCCAAAGGAGAATACCTTCTCCTTCTCCGCGAACGTGACGGCCTGGATGCTGCCTGGGAAGGCCCCACTGCGCAGAGTTGAGGACGGCATAGCCGACTCCACGCCTAGAGAGCGCACCACGGTTTGCTCCTCGAAGATGCTCTCATAGTCGGTGGTGTTGATGCCTGGGTAGCAGCTCTCGCCCACCAGCTCGTACAAGAGCATGCCCGTTTCCGCTGCATCGTCCGTGTTGCGCCCTGAGATCTCGATGCGGAGCGTCTCGCTGTACACGGCGCAGTCCTTCGGCTGGAACACCACGTCCAGTCCCGCGGTAACGCCAGGGTCAACCGTCCCGCAGTCCGGCGTAATTGCGAACTGGCCCAAGGTTAGTGTGGACGGAGCAATGGGCGTGTCTATCATCAACGTTTCTTGCTTCTCGCTCGCACTCGCTGGTCGTGACCCCTGGACGCGGAACTTGAAGGGGAACTCGCCGTCATTTCGGATCTCGATTCGCTTGGTCTGGGCCTGATCGCTGTACTTGTGCGGCCCAAAGTTGATGCCTCGATTCGGCTGCAGTCGGAACTTGCTGAAGACGGAGCGAGCGCTCGTGTACACGTAAAACTCTCGGCACGCCTCCCCCGACAGCATCTCGATGATGGTGCACTTGATGTCCTTGCAGTCCCGGAGCGTCACTTCGCTCTTGGACGTGAACGTGACGTTGACCGACGACGACTGCCCTGGCTCCAGTACCATCTCACTCGGGTCGATGGTGAAGTACTCGCGCGTGGCAGCACTTCGTATGGCGATGATGTACTTGACGTTGTACTTGCCTCGGTTGCGAATGTTGAACGACCGCGAGTGCTTTTCTCCGACGCGAACGAGACCGAAGTCCAGACTCCCGTCTCCTCCGACAGGGCGAGCGCCGGTGCTGAGCGCAGCCCCAGCCGCCGCTTGGCTCGGCACTTCACCCGCCCCGCTATCGAATGAGCTCACGTCGATCTTGTAGGCCTCTCCACACAGCGTCAGCTCCAGCAGTCGGTTGCGGTCGCTCACTCGGAGGGCGCTCTCAGCGTCCGAGAACTCGATGCGAAGCGGGAACTGGTGGACTGCCTCAGTCGTCGCGGAGAAGACGACGATCACTGGGACCTTCTGCAGAGGCTTGATGGTGCCTTCGACTGGGAAAATCCGGAAATCGGCGGGCAAGTCCTCGCCCAGCAGCCGCCAACACACAGCCACAGGCGACAAGTTCTCGATGTAGAAGGTCTTCTCGTCCTGGCGCTTGAGCAGAAGCTGCTCAAAGTCCAACAGCGGTTGATCGGGTGAGTGAGAGGGGGCAGTGGGTTGCTCCACAGGCGGCGCATTCGATCGAGACGAGACAGGGGCGCTCCCTGGGACGCTAGACCGAGCAGATACTGGAGCCCCAGCCTCCTCAACGTCCGGCGCCTGTCGATGGTCGTCCCTTTCGGAGGTGCTCGCTGCTGCGGGCTGTTCCCATGGGCCACGCAGCTTCAGCTCTGGGATGCACCCGTAGCAACTGATCTGGAACACCACAGGCTCAGGGTTGTCGCCGATGCAGCAAATGAGGGCGTTCTCCTGGAGACCGTTCTCCGAGGGGTTGGCCCAGACCTTCACTTCCTTCGTGTCGCCCTCCTTGATCTCCAGTGTCGGTGGGAAGACAGCAAAGACGTTGTCGTCCTTCTTCTCCAGGCCAAGCTCAAGGTAAATGGGGAATTTGCTGCTGTTGGACATCCGGAACACCTCGACGTTGTTGGGACTCGATTTCTGCCACTCGAGGAACTCCCAGTCCGTCTCTGGGGGCTTCGCCGCTTGGTTCCCGATAATGAGCGGCCCGAACTCGAACTGGTTCCTGGACATGACGAACTTCTTCTGCACGAAGGCCCCCTCGGGGCGGCTCTTGACGCGGTGCATGAACACGTTCCTCGGGTCGCTGTTGATCGTCGGCACGCCGCAGACGCCTCGACCGAAAAGCGTAAGCTCGCGATGGATCCCCACGATCTCGAAGCCCATGCTACAGTCGAAGTTGCCAACGTCAGCAGAGGCAAACTGAACTAGCACGTTCACGCGTGAATGGGGCGCAATGACCCAGCGGCAAGCGGGAGAAGAAGAAGAGGAATCCCGTGACTTTGAGAAGGACTGCGGCCTTGATGCATCGGGGGCCGTCTGGCTTTCGTTGTCGGCACCCGCGTCAGCGTCCACAGCCTGGTGGTGATCGGGGTCTTTACCCGCAGTGGGAGGTCGGGACGAGTGCTTGCTTGGGACTTGGGAGTGTGAACTACTCAGGTGGAGACTCTTCTCGCTGCTGGCCTCCGAGGCACTGGCTGATAATACCGACGGCGATCGCAACGAGAAACGAGCGATGCGCTTCCGCGTGAACCTCTCGGGGGGCCTTCGAACGAGTTGGAACTTGGCTGCGCTGGGGATCGGGAGGTGGCTGGCCTCCAGCTCCCGAACGAACTTTTCAATCGTAGAGAAGATCAGGCTGTGGACGAGCAGAGGCGGCCCCACTTCGAGGATGGGAATCTCCAGCAGGAAGTTGTCAGGTGTCGTCCTGTCTTTCACTTGCGCCCACAGAGCGTCAGCACTATTTTCTTTGCTGGGACTGTCGGGGCTTGTCTGTGGAGGTTGAGACGTACTATCGTCACCTCGAAGAAGAAACAAGGCCAGTTGATGCTTCATGGCCTCCAACGCCTGTGTATACTCGGCAAACGTTGAAGGCCTCGGTACATCTGCAGATAGTGATCGTGCCAGCTCCAGCACCTTGTCTTGTACGTCAGTGTCCCCTTCAGGAAAGTTGTTGGACTCATCTCCAGCAACGAGGCTCTCGCTGCTCGCTCCATCCAAGCTGGAGTGACTCAACGCTTGCCGTGAAGGAGACCCTGATAAACTCTGTTTCTCTGTCTCGTGGCTGCTGACTCGGGACGGAGAGCGCTGACTTTCATCAGCATTCTCCTGATTGTTCTCATCCGAATTGTTGCTGTTATCCCTGATATTCCCTGAGCTGCTTGGCGTCAAGCGATCTCTTGAAGGGGACGGAGTAACAGAAACGATAGCCCCCGGTTTGATTTCTTGACTTGTCAGCAGAGCGGACATTGACTCGTAACAATCCTCGTCAAACCCGAGCAAAATGATTCGGGCCGTCGCAAAGACCTTCGCGCAGCACTTCAGCGTTTGCTCGAAACTCAAGAACGAGTTGTCAAACCCATCCAGGATACTGCCGCCTTTCAGATCGGGCTGGGCCAGTCTCCAAACGCAAATCTGGTCTAAAACGCGAGCGAGTTTGGTACTGACAGATTCAGGCTCTCCACTCTCGTCCAGTGTTTCGTCACGAGGCTCCTCCGACTCTGGGGACTCTTGTGGAGCACTCTGGCTATCACCCGACACAGCTTCCTCACCCTCTAGAGACGACCCAACTTCACTCTCCCCTATGTTAACCCCCAAGGCTTTACGCACTGCAGTCGCAAGGGGGCCTTCTGCGGCGCATACAGCTCTCACCGCACCGTCAATCGTCCAGACGGACAGAGACTCCTTCTCAGCGAGAAGACGAGCCTGCGTCGACTTTCCGCACCGCGGAGGGCCTACCACAATATAGTCAATTCCTTTGCGTGGCTCTGGGTCAAACCCTGCAAGAGGAATTTCGGAGGAGGAGGAATCGTCGACACCTTCGCCTTCTTGAGCCTGACCAATAACGTCTGCAGGTTGGTCGGTCGCCGCCAGTGGCTCTGTCACATCAGTAGTAGTAACGGGAAGAAGCAAGCAGTTATCTGCTAGATACTCCGTGATTGACTGACCTGGAACCCGAATCGGAAGTTGAAGTGTATCTCCAGAAGTAAATGCCGACAAGGAGCGTAATAAGGCCTCGTCTTGTTCATACGACGAGTCAAAGTCCAATGAGAAAACCTCAACTGCGTAGTCCGAGTCGTTGCGTATCTCCACGAGCTGCTCCTCAGGCGGAGCGCAAGGAAGAACGGGACCCAGCTCAACCAGCGGGGGATAGAAGGAAATGCGTAAATCCGAGCCTTCTCCACGACACACGATCGACCGCGTCTTTGGGTTTGAGTTGATCTTGATCGGGAGCTTGAGCATGAACTGACGCCCGTCGTCCGGCACGAACTCAATCTGAATGTTGACTTTTGCCCCGGGAGTCAGCAACCCGCTCTGCGGAGTGAAGCGGAAGTTGCCAACGTCTTTCGTAGAGCCCATAGGCTTCTTGAACGCCCACTCTGCTGGCACCGCCGACACATTCTGAAGCTGAGTGAACATCGTGTGGCAGGTACTTACTGCGATTTTGCCAAAGTCGAGGCTTTCTGTCGAGATGGAGATGTCTGGCACTGTGACGAGAGCGCGGACCATCGCAATACAGGGAGGTCCGTTCTTGATCACAATCGGCAGCTGGGCCATGTGTAGACCCATCTCAATGTTCTTCCGAGCGTGGAACGTGACAGTAAACTCGACAGACTGCTTCTCGGGGAGCCGCACGACCCGCTCCGGTTCAATTTGGAAACCACGCGAGCTCGCCAGGTTCTTGTCGAGCTGGAACGAAGCGGGTCCGTGGCCAATGTTGGTGACGCTAAACCGTTTGATCTTGTGCGTCCCCACCACAACGTTCCCGAAGTCCAAGACGAACTGCGACAGAATGAACGGAAACACCTCCGTCCCGCGTTTCTTCTGAGCTCGGGTCTCTGAAGTAGACGACACGGGTCTCGCTGGCTTCGTCACAACTTTGACGGGCTCTGCGGGGTTAGCCGGATCCTCGTTACTTGGCTCAGCACTCTTCAGAGCTCGTGAGTCCGCCCGCTTCTGTTCTTGGACGAGTAAGTGGTCGGCGAAGAACAAGCGGCACGCTTCAATCTCGACGTCCAACTCATCAATCGCTAGAGCAGCAGCACCACCACGGACGGGGCTGCCTGGCGCTCCCAGCCTTTGACCGACCGCCTTAGCCTGGGGTGAAGCTGGCACGGAGGTGACTGAAGTATATTTCTCGTTTCCTCGGTAGGTGGTCGAAAGCGTTGACTTGGATTCAGAGGACGACAACGTTGCGTTGCTGCTGGCAACCTGGTTGTTTCTTGCCTCCACCGCTGCGGCATTCAGCATCCCCAGTTCAATGTTCTGCTTGGCGCGTTTCTTCAGCTCTTTCCACTTCGGTGCCTCGCCACGAATCAAACTCGCAGGGTGGTTTTCACGCGGCAGGTTGAGCGAAACTGCGGCAAAAGTGCCAATCCCAACGAGCTTGAACTGTATCGGCTGGAAGTGCGCGATCTCAAGCATCACCGTCTCTTCGAAATACTCGGGGATGCCTGGCCGCAAGCGGACGAGGATTCTCTGCTTCTCGTTGGGGGCGATCTTCCCGCTCATTGGCGAGATCTCCAGTGTCCTCCCGCAGGCGATGTGGTCGACGATGATGTTGAACGAAAACGGCACTTTGCCCACGTTCAGGATGGAAAAGTCTCGGTCTTCAGTCTTGTTGTACAGAACCTGCCCAAAGTCCAGCGACTGCTTGTCCAGCTTGTACACAAGTGATGAAGCCTCGCCTGACAGCGTCAGCTCATACTCGGGACCGCCTTCGACTTCACACGCCACCGTGCTCTTAAACTTGCGGTTGGCGTGTCCGTAGTACACGAACTCGATCTTCTCGCTTTCGCTCGGCTTCAGTAGTCCGCGAATCGGCAGAATGTCGAACACTTGGTTGATGGGGATGTAGGGCTTCTTGGCCGTCGCAGTTGATAGCGCCTCCTTCTCGTCCTCGATGAAGACCCACCGGAAACTCGTGTCTACCTTCGACACGTTGGTCACGTTCAGGCTGATGCTCTTCTGCGTGTCGTTCAGCGTGCAGCCGAAGTCAATCTTGGTGGTCTCGAAGGACAAGTTGGGGAAGCTGATGTCCCCCAGCAACTCGACGCTATCTTTCTGGGGGTGGCCCGTGTAGGACACGAGCACCTTGCCGTTAATCACTCGACAAGTGTAGTCGTCCTTGAACCCTGGATAGAACTCCACATTCAGATCGACCTTTTCTCCCGGTTGTAGCACTGCCTCCCAACAGTCTAGCGCGAATGGAGTTTGCGTCCGAAGTGTGAACGACAACGGCAGCTCACACACGTTTGTTAGACTCAGAGGCTGCGACTGCGTCGTGATTTGGTTGCCTGGATGGTGGATGTACTCGAATGACAGCAACGACGATGACGGAGTGAGCTTTGGATCCACGAAGTTTGCGCGAATGGCGGTCACAAACGCGACTTTGTTGGCCTTTTCCTTCCCAACGCGCGTTTCGCACACCAGCTCTTCTTGAATGAGCCCAGCGGTGGAGGAGAGCCCCTTAAAGACGAAGATGCACGCCGTACGGGGCTTCAGTTCGATGGTCCCAGGGAAGACTGAAAACACAGGAATCACTTCGTCCCTTCCATCGCCAGCAGTAGCACCACTCCCGCTCCTGTTGCTGCTGCCAGACTTGTTAGTCTTGGCGGTTGATCGGCTGTCCAGGCCAACTTTCGACCCTTTCTTCGATGAACCCCCTTGGTCTGCGGAACTGATCTTGCTGTTGGCATTGGCGACGGTCTTGTTGACCCACGTGAGAACCTGCACCCGTTTGCCCTTATTTTCCAGAGTGCAACTCCATTCGCACTCTTTGCTGGTCATCTGATGGCTGAAGTCGATCACTCGGAGCTCACTGGGCGACCACATGGTTGTTCCCGTTCCTCGAATCGACAGCGGCACTACCAGGTTCTCCCCCTCCGTGATCAGAATATGCAGCTGGTCCTTGAACACCACCGTATCGTCCAGGTTCGCGACCAGCACAAATTCCATGCTCTCGCCAGCCATGAGCATCCCTTCTTTTCGGTCGATCTGAAACTTGGAGCGTGCGTTACGGATAAACGTTTTGTACGATGCCGGGATCAAGGAGACATTGGTCATGCGCAGGACTCGTTCGTGGTTCACCAAGCATGTACAGTTCCCCCAGTTGATCTCCGGCTGATCCAGCTCCACTTTGGGCCCCGAGCCAGTGGCGCTGAGCGTCACGGACAACGGGAGGTCGGTGCTTCCCGGGACAGTCACCACCATCGGAAGGCGAATGCTACCAAGCTTCTCGCAGGACAAGGCGATCTCAACAGACACACGCTCTCCAGGTCCCACGCTGCCGGCAAACTCGCTGGCACTGTACGTGGCGATAGCTCGTGAATGATCGTCCTGCTCGCCAATTTCAAAGCGTCCATACAGATGGGTCGACTTGTTCTCCAGCTCCAGCATTTGCTTGTGCGGGTAGCGCAAGAAACATCGACCGAAATCCAGCTCGTGTCGTAGGATAGTAAGCTCTGGGACAAAACACTGGGCTCGCACTGGAATACTCAGCAAGTCGGCCCCAACACCAGTGACGCCGACAACGAGTTGATATTGATACGTCTTGACGTTGTGAGACGTGAATCGGATCGTGATCTGCTGCTCCCCGTAGGAGTCCAGCTTGCCGTCAGAGGGAACGAGCTCAAGTTCCTTTTGCTTGTAGCTGGCTTCTTCCGGGATTCGAAGCGAGTACTTCATTGCAATCTTGGACGCGTTGATCAGCTTGACCGTCCGAGTCTGCGGGAACGAGTACGACACGGCGCCAAAGTCCACTTGGTCGACGTCGAAGTGGAACACTGGGGGGATCACGTTGGCCTTGAACCGCACCGTCAGCTGCTCGTCCGAGCCCTGCATACTGAAGCGAATGTGGTGAAACGCTTCCCCCAGCTCCTGTGAGAAGAACGTCACCTCGATCTTGAGCATCGCGTTCACGGCCAGCGTCCCATGGCTTGGATGTACGCTCAGTGTTGTGCCCACAGGCATCGACAACGGGATGAGCTCGAACTCAGCCGGGATCTCGCCTTTGTTTTGAATCGTGAAGTCACGCGTGCGCTCGTCGTTGATGAACACGTCGCCGAAATCCAGGAGCTCGTTGTACACCACCTTCGCCTTAGGGCCAATCCCTTGTCCTCGAAGCTGAAGCGGGAGCCGAGCTGCCTGACCCGCGATCTCCAGAAATGCGCAGCAGGAGTACAAATGAGCGACCTCAGGCGTAAAGCACACCACGACGTCTACTTCCGAATGCGCCCACACTCGTCCGCTGAGCGGAGTAATCGAGAAGCACGCGTCCACGAACTGCATCGAGTCGTCCAGTGTCGCCTTGCGCAGATGTCGGTACTTGGTGTCGAGCGTCTTTCGCACGTCAAAGGGCGACTGCGTGAACCCCGCATCTTCCGCCTCGACTTCCTGTAGCTGCAGATGCAGCTGCTCGCGCTCTGCTGCCTCCATCCGGGCGAGCTCTTCCAGTAGCTGGGTCCGCTCGAGCTCCTCGTGAGTGCGGTCTGCGAAGGATTTCCACGAGAAGTCGAGCGTGAACTCGGATTCGTTGCAGATCTTGACCGTCTTGCGCGACGACAGCGACAGATACGTGGCGTTGGGCTCCACCAGCGGCTGGCTCAAGAAGACGTCGACGTTGATGACGCGGCCGCCCAACTGCACGACTGCCGTCTGGCCGCTATCGTCCTTCACCTCCAGCTCGCCTCGCCCCGACTCCAGGTCGGGCGGCACCAGCACCAGCTCGATCTGCACCGCCGCCCCCTGCGCCAGCGTCGCACTCGGTGGAGTGACACGGAAGTGCTCGCTCGTCTGGAACGCAAAGGAAGAGCCGCGTGTGCCCACGTTCCGCACGGTCAGGACGCGCGTCGTGGGCATCTTGACGGGGCAGACCCCAAACTCGAGCTCGTCCGGCAGGTCCAGCGCCGCGAAGCGCCCGCGCACACGAACGGGTAGCAGGAAGCGCTCGCGCTCCGTGCAGCACACGAGGTCGATCGCGTAGTCCGTGACCTCTTGAGGCATAAAGTCGAGCGCGAAGGCGATCTCCATCCCGGCGGCCACCTTGCCGTCGACTCGAGGGTCCGCTTTGCCAGCAGCTTTCTCTCGGCTGCCTGCGTCCCAAGGCCGCACGCGGAAGACGGGCGAGCGCGGGGGCTCGATCTTGAGGCGCCGCACCACGGTGTCGCAGTTGCGGAAGCGCAGCTTGATCGTGAGCAACTGGAAGGGCGTGTACTCGTCGATCCAGACTTCGGCCGGCGTGGGCTCGAACAGAGGCTGGTGCAGCGGCACCGTGCTGGACACGCGCGCCGTGTGGTCCTCGGCGTTCACGAGCTCCACGATGCGACTCGTCGCGTGCTTGGCGGCATGGGCCTTGGCCGCCGAGAAGGCCGTCAGGATCTCGCTCGGTTTCTGCCAACAACAACAGCAACACACACACACCAGGTGAGACTACGGATGCGCCGCCGCCAACGCATTCATCCGCAGCTCTGCGTACCAGGCGCTGCGTCTTCTTGGACATGCTGTCCTGCACTCGGCGCTGAGTGGCCTTAGCTCCGATCGGCGAGATATTGTCGAGTGCCCCTTCACCTTGAAGCCGACGACTCGCCCCAACAGGCGGTCAGCGGAGCTAGACGCTACCATTGCCTCGCTGTCGCCGGCGGAGCCGAGTCGCCCCGGCCAAGGGGGTTGCCGGCGCCGTACGCGTCAGCACCGCGCGTCATGGCAGCCCGCTGTCCTCCGCGCGACGCCATAGTCCCGCAGCAGCCAGCACCGCGTCTTCGCCAGCTGCGAAAAACTACCCACGAACCTTCCTCCAAATCGCTTGATCGGGCGTGCGACGGCAGTCCCGAATTTGCTCGGCGTCACACAAGCGCCTCCTGGAAGCAGGCTACAGCCAGACCACAGCTCCGTCCGTCCGTCCCCGTAGCCACTTCAAGGTCTCACAGCTCCCCGTACGCGCCCCCCGCCGCTCCTCACTTGAGAGCCCATGGCCGCGCGCGTCAAGCAGGTGCTCCAGCGCTACGGGCGCACCGCCTTCCTCTTTCACTCCACCGTCTTCGCCTCGACGCTCGCGGGCTCGTACGCGGCCATCAACCAGGGCGTCGACCTCCAGGCGCTGGCCAAGCGCGTCCCCTTCGTGGACCTGTCGGGCATCGACCCGGACGCCGGCACGCTGGCGCTCGCCTACCTCTCCACGGTGGCCACGGGCCCCGCCCGAGGCGCGCTCACCATCGCCGCGTCGCCCATTCTCGCCCGCCTGCTCGCGCGCAGCCGCCAGCTCTCCAAGATGTAGACGACGGGCGGACAGCCCAGCCGGCAGCAGCTCAGACAGCCCAGCAGCCCAGCATCGGCCTTAAGGCGGGCAGCTTATCAATGCACGTTTGAGCAGACCTCAGTTCTTGTCCTTTCCTCGTCCGAGCACACTCCCCATCAGTTCGAGTTCCGGCCATGAAGCGCTTCTTCGGCCGCTTCGCCAGCCGCCCGCGCGTCGCCGCCGGCCAGCAGACGCCGCCGCGCTCCGTGCCCGAGGGCATCGCGCGTCCGCCGTACGCGGCGAGCGGCGGCATGTCCGAGCTCAAGCCCTTCATCCCCGTGCTGGACGCCGAGCAGCAGCTGCGACTGCGCGCCGCCTGCGCGCTGGCCGGAGACATCCGCGAGTTCGCCAGGCCGCTGTGCCAAGCCGGCGCCACTACGGAGGACATCGACCGCCTCGTGCATGAGGAGATCGTGCGGCGCGGCGCGTACCCGTCGCCGCTCAACTACGGCGGCTTCCCCAAGGCGCTGTGCTCGTCCGTGAACGAGATCGTGGTGCACGGCATCCCGGACAGCCGGCCGCTGGAGGACGGCGACATCGTCAACATCGACGTGTCGGTCTTTTTGGACGGCTTCCACGGCGACACCTCGCAGACGTTCCTGGTCGGGGACGTCGACGAGGCCGGGAAGCACCTCGTGGACGTGACCAACAAGGCGCTCATGGGCGCCATCGAGCTCTGCTGCAAGCCGCTCAACCGCTTCGCAGCCATCGGCCACTTCGTGCAGACGCTGGCGGACAGGGAGGGGCTGGGCGTCGTGCGCGAGTACACGGGCCACGGCATCGGCAAGGAGTTCCACTGCCTGCCTTTCATCCTGCACCACCGCAACGGCGAGCCCGGCAAGATGCTGCCGGGCATGGCCTTCACGGTGGAGCCGGCGCTGACGGAGGGCAGTCCGGAGGTGAGTTTTGCTCAAGCTTTTGCTGGTTGACGCGTACGCAGTGGCTTATCTGTTGCTGTGCTGCATGTACATGTAGATCGTGCACTGGGACGACGGCTGGACGGTGGCCACGGCAGACGGCGGCCGATCCGCGCAGGCGGAGCACACGGTGCTGATCACCGAGGACGGTGTTGACATCTTGACGTAGGGATTCCAGTGCGGGGCTTGTCGGGTTGCAAGACCACACATGAGGCAGATCGAAACACGCCGCCATCGACAGGTCAATTGACAGATAGCTCAAGCTTAGCCCGATTCGTTAGTATTGTGGGCTGGGGAGGGAGGGCCAGGCGGACTCGTAGCTCTGATGCAATGCAATGGCATGGAATTTATTAGTTGAAAAAGCTGCTTATTCGATCTGGAAGACGGCCGAGTTGGGAGGGCCCGACATGCTCTCGTCGTCGTCCTCGGGGCGGCGGATTCGGAAGTCGAACTTGACGTTCATGAGGCGCTGGTTGTCCGAGCGGCGCGCCACCGAGATGTCGCCCACCACCATGTCGCCCTCGCACACCTGCATGGGCGGGTAGAGCGGGAAGACCTGCTGCCCCCAGTGCGTGGGCTGCACGAACGGGGACGTGGTGAGCGTCACCTCCTTCATGGCCGGGTTCTCGGCACAGCCCTTGAAGTCGACGTCGAACCAGCCGGCGATGCCGCCAAAGCGCGACATGATGGAGATCGGCATGGAGAAGGGGGCCTTGACCTCCTTGATGTCGTCCAGCGTGCAGGTCTTGAGGTCCCACTTGGCGAACTCCACCTCGTCTCCGATGAGGTCCCCGGCGTTGAGCTCCTCCCACGAGGACGTGTGTAGCGAGTACTGCTCCTGCTCCTTGCGGAAGGCGTTGCCCAGCACGCTCATGTCGACGCCCCAGGCGATCTTGGTGTTGTCCACGAAGCCGCGCCAGCCGTCCATGGCCGCCGAGAACTCGCTGAAGCGCTTGTTGCTGTTGTCCTCGTTGCACATGGGGGCGATGGACATGCTGGCGTGCGACGGGAACATGGCGCCGTCGGGCTTGAGCCAGCGGTCGCGCGCCACGATGACCGAGTCGAACATGGACTCGCGCAGGAGGAAGTAGCCCATCCACTCCGAGATGATCACGTCCACCTTCTCGGGCAGCTCCACGTCCTCGATCTTGGACTGGATGACCGTCACGATGTGGTCCTGGTTGTTGGCCTTGATGACCTTGCGCGCCTGCTGGGCCATGTCCGTGGCCTCCACGGCGAAGACCCGGCGCGCGCCCGCCTGGGCCGCCCAAATGGCCAGGATGCCGCTGCCCGTGCCCACGTCCAGCACGACCTTGTCCTTGAAGTGGTTGGGGTTCTCGAAGATGGCGTCGCGGTAGCTCTGCATGCGCAGGTCGTCCGACAGCATCTGCTTCTGGTGGTAGATGAAGGCGTACGTGCAGAAGTAGTTGGCGAAGTCGGACGACGCCTCCCACGCCTTCTTCTGGTCCGGGGAGATGTCCTTCGGGGCGGCGTCCGTCATGGTCGGCGGCTGTGTCGGTGGCGGTGGCGGTGCTGGCGGGTCTCTAGTCTGGCCGCAGCAGGCGGGCAATGCGGCAGTGGATCTCGCGCTGGACCAACCAAGACGGACTGCAATTAATGATCGATTTAATTTCGGTGGATGGACACCAATTATGCAAATCAATAACAATAATTGCTGATTTGCCAAAGGATCACCTGATGGGGGACGACGCGTTGAAGCGCGCGTTCCGGGCGCTGTGCCTGGACTACGAGGAGCTGCTGGACGAGGCGGCGCAGGCGACGCAGCCGGTGGACGAGCGCATTGGGCTGGCGCTCTTCAAGATCGACGAGGCGTGCGCGGCGGCCGACGCGCTGCGGCAGGACGCGCAGCAGGCCCAGGAGCAGCTGCTGGACGAGCTACTGGCCAACTGCAACGAGCTCGAGGACATTTTCCTGCGCGTGAACCTCATCGAGGTGCGTGCGGACTGCGGGGCGGAGCTGCTGCATGGTGGTGGTCGGCACTGACGCGTGATTGATTGGCCTCTCTCTCGATGTGGTGACAACCTGCAGCGCTTCGTGGGGAGGATGCTGCAGACCACGCGCGATCTCGAGAAGCGCTCGGAGGGCGTCGGTCGCGCGGCCGGCCCAGTCTTCAACCCGAGCAGCAGCGTCACCAGTCTGTTCAGGTCCTTCTCCATCAAGGTGTGTGCTACATGTAGGTAGCGAAGAGGCCTTGTGTGAGCGGATGGGCGGCTAACTGCGTGGTGTGGCTGCTGCTGCAGCGCGGAGCACAAGACGCACCTTCAAGCGACGGCAAGTGGAGTCCCGTGGCCTTCGATTTTAACACTAAGGAGCTGATGGAGCGGCTGGAGAAGAGTGATGCACGGGAGCTGGGCGTCTCTATATCTACGCAAGCAGCAGCAGCAGCAGCAGGAGAGCAGAGTCCCCCTCCAGAAATTGGCAGCAGCGCGGAGTCGGACTCCGACTGAGGAGCACAGTGCTCATGGGACTCCCATGCGACAGCGCGCGATACAAAAGCCAATTCAACTGTTATCAGGGTGAAAAAACCGGGACACAAAGATTTCACTACAGTCCTCCCTCCCGATATGCGCACCTGGTCTTCCGCATACCCCGTCATATCTGTTTATTAAGGTCGTGGGTCAAGTAGCCAATCAAAACAAAGCATTTACTTTTGTTAATACCGAATTTGTTTTGTAGAGGGATACACCCGCGTATGGGATACATGGTATTATTAGCCAATCACAATTGTGAATTTAGGATTTAAATTGCTTGACTTGTTGAGGGATACAACAGTTTCAAGCCAGTAATTTTTGCAATCTCGGCCGTCCATCGCTCGTTCATTTCTGCAATGGCGCGGGCGCCACCGCCAGGGCGTCCACGCCTGCCTGACGACCAAAGAAGGTGGAAGACGAAGCGGGCCCTAACTTCGTATACAGTTGCGACGAAGAAAGCTGTTGTTGAGCATCTGAGACTACACTGCATTGTTCAATTCACTATGGACACGTTCTTTCCTGATCTACCAACAGAGAAGTATCAAGGAAGACGAGTATTGGTGCTAAGGTGGGCTCGCCAGTATGACTCTATCGCCGCTACGTGTGCTTCTGTCGGCGGTGGGGGCAAGCGAAAAACTCGCTCTACCGGATCAGCTACGATCTTACCTCTAGATGTTGAGCTTGACATCGTGAGCTGGATTAACGACTTGCGCGCCGAGGGTGTTCCAGTCACGTCTCTAATGCTACGCCTGAAGGCGTTAAGCGCAGCTAAGGCGGCGGGAGTGCAACGATTCCGGGCGTCCACTGGATGGCAGCGTCTGTTCAAGAGGCGTCACCGCCTGTCAATGCGATCGCGCACACGCCAAGGCCAAGGCAGCCCAGTAGAGCTGGACAAGACCGCCGCGGAATTCTCTCTAACTGTGAAGGCTAAAGCGGCGGAACTGGGTGTGTCTGTTATATACAATGCAAAACAAACCGGTGAGTTTTACTGTATTTATGATATGTTTTAACGGACCGTACTAACAGGATATGTTTTTGCTCTTGTGCTACCTTTTAGATGCGTTTTTCGAGTATTTACCCGCTAAAACACTGCATGGCACCGGTGACAAGACGGTGTGGGTGCGCTGCGGTGGCAAAAGCAAGGAAAGAGCTACCGTCATGCTGTTAGGAGACTCGAACGGTAATAAATACCCGCCGTTTCTTGTTTTCAAGTCAAAGCCATCGACGGTATTACAACGACGTGAAGCCAACACACGCCTTCGCCATGGATTTGGCGTAACCGTGTGGAAAGAAGTCGGACCAGCGCAAGAAAAAGAAGGAGTCCAAGTTCATGACAACGCCAAAGGTAAATAACGCATACATGTTGCATTTTATGCCAATACTAACGTTTTTATGCAAGGTTGGTGAAATACTTCTTTGTCTGTAGAGTTTCTCCGCTATCACTTCGGTGCGAGACCCCAGTGTGGTGTAGTTATTTGGCGGTAAACGAGAATCGAGCTGACGACCACGCTTCAGTGGCGACCCGAGTCGTCGGGACATGTTCAGCAATGTTCGGCGGATGCTGATTGGCCATTCTGGACCGGTGCCGAAGACTCGTCGACACCCAAGTTCAACACCCAGGACTTCAAGTACGATCCGAATTTACAGCGAACTTTGACCCGAGATCCGCACTTAAGACGACCGTTCGAGCCCCGGCGACTGCTCCAAGTCTTCATCGTCCAATGGAGTCATCGAGAGGCCTCTTGGGGCGTCGAGGAGGCTCTGAAGGGTCGGTGGTTACTTGGGAAAATCCAAAACGGACGCGTTTATACTAGATATTTTTATTGAACCATAGGAAAGAGAAGATAGAATAGATAAGCCCTTTGGGCGACAAGAACAGAACAGCTTTTCCTCCCACCACTCAAGGAAGACGTCCGGGCTATCGGTGAGTTCCCGTAGCAATCGGATAAACCTGTTGGTAGGATTATGACTGTCGGTGGACGCGCCTGCTAGTATCGTAGCGTCCGTTTACCCGTGGTCAGGCCAAGAGTAGTGAAGAAGTGGCCGTGTATACGAAGGGCGAGTCATCGCCGTGTAGTGGAGGAGCGAGAGCGCACTCCATTTACCCTTCCCGTCGGAGTATAGCTCCGGCACCCTCGTATCAAGCCGTGACTGGCTGGGACCCTTCCTTCCTGAGGGCCTGCGAGGTTTATATTGTGTGTGAGAGCGTGTCAGTCTTTGCTCGTGGCTGGTGACGCTGGGTTTCCGTCAGTTGACTAAGCGGAAACACGGTGCACAGAGGAAACATCAACCCGGTGCAAGGGAAAGTTCCTGGGCCTTCAGGTTCTAACCCTAACAAGCCCATTGAGTCATCGGGACTTGGTGGGTGTTGTTGGTGGGGAAAGTGTGCTATTATATAATTTAGTGCGTGTTCCTACACGACACCAGCCCGAGAAGCCTGTACTCCTCCTCTGGGACTACTTCTCTGGACACTGGTTCAAGGAAGTCATCCAGTGCGCAAAGGAGCTGAAGGTGGAGTTGCTCAAGGTTCCACCGGGGGCGACGTCTGTCTGCCAGCCCGCGGATGCTACGTGGAACGGGCCTCTCAAAGCCCGTCTACGACTGCTCTGGATCGAGCATTTGAAGGCCCAGCTTCTCGACCGAGACCCGGCCATTGCGTTCAAGCTGAAGCCCCCCACCAGAGCCGAGATATGCAACTGGGTGAGCTCGGCCTGGAAGGGCATGCCTGCTTCCATCATTTCCGGGGGATATCGTAAGTGCCATCTGGAAGTGGAGCCTCCTGAAGAAGCGGCGGAGGTAGTGAGCGAGCTCATTAGTCTAGGGTGTATCGACAGTCGTGTTGGTGAGATTCGCCCTGATAGGGACTTTGATGTAGCTGAGATTGAGGAAGGTGACTCAGATGAGGAATTGCTAGAGTGCTCAGTTTAGTAATTTTAGAAAATACATATGGGCATCATGTGCCGATTCATTACGCGTTCAAAATTGGGCGCCCTGCATTTCAGCGCCGGTAGGGTGTATCCCTCTACAAAACAAATTCGGTATGTGGCAGATCACTAGAATCTGGGCGGGAAAGGGAAGATCACCATCGCCTCCGTGCACAGGTCCCCTCCCAAGTAAGTTGTGATTTGAAAGGCTGTAAATGAACATTAATTTTCCAAGGAACTCAGTACGCGTGTGTCCGCCAAGTTTCATGCCTCATTTCCGAATTTGCACCCACCATGACTGCCAGCAAGACTCTTTGCATCCGCCTCACGATCAAGCAGAAGCTTGCAATCTGCGAGTACGCCCGAAAGACGTGCACCCAAGGATCTGAGCTGAGCTATGCCGACCTCGCACGCTAGGCGACACGGACTTCAGTACAGCAAGATCTCCGCATTGCTTAACTAGTTGTCAGTACATTTAACGTGTCTACTCTTATCCGATCCGCATTCCCTTCCTAATCGGATCGCTGTACCCATGCGCGTAACGGGGGAGGGAGGACTGTACTTTCCAACCGTGATAACTAGGGATTATCCTGGGATGGTGACATCAGACTTGACCACCAAGATGACTACAGCGCCCATTTTTATCGGATAACCCATTCGACATATGTTCGAGATAACGGACCAATCGGCGTCCTATATTTCGATGAAGCCCTAATGGAGCCCTTTCCCAAACGTTTGAGTAATCGAGAGCGTTTTTATCAGCGGCTGTATGTCAAAAAACGACGCGGAATTCGTCAAATCTGACCTCAAAATCGGAATCTACGAGAAGACGACCCCTCTGGTAGGAAGTCCTGGAGGAGTTCCAGAGACAGCGCGCGTCGCGCATGGGCTCTGAGATTCTCAAGAACCCCCGGGATCCGGTGTATCCCTTGGTCAAGGAGTTCGAGGACGTGGTGTCCAAGGATCCACCATCCAATCTCCCTCCGGACAGGGGAATCAGGCACAAGGTCGACCTCGTGCCGGGCACGAAGTACTCTGTCACGAGGTAATGGCCTCTTCCGCGGGAGTAGTGTGAAGTCATTGATGCCTTCTTTGCCGCCAAGGCGAAGGCAAGCATTGTAACAGGGTTACACGCACAAGTGGCTACAGTCACTTGTAACTCTAACAGATACGACGTCTGTTAGAGGTTCGAAAGACTTTCTCGACCTTGGTGTAGACACACCAAAGGCTACATACATTTACGACCACCACGACGGGTGGTCCATAGAGACTTAGGATTCCTATTGGCTGAGAGCAGCATCTTTTAGCCAATGAGCGACATGCATAGCATTGGAATTCTGCCAACCAGCCGTTGGCAGATTCCTATCTTAGAATATTACATTTAGAGGAAGTCAGAAAGCATAAAACAAAAATAGCAGTTCTCATTTTAACCCAAAAACATTATTTGGATCGTTTATTTAGATTAATCTATACTCGGAGGCCCGAGTATAATTAACTCTAGTATTAAGTAAGCTACATACACGCGCACACGTGTAAGCTAAAGTAGCGAGCCAAAGTAGGCCCATTACATGAATCCTCGTGTGAGCGTTGGTCGTCCGAGTATTGGCGCTCATCCTCGAAGTAATCCTCGTTCGCCTTAGCATCACGTCGGGGGGCGTATGGAGCCTCGTTGCGTGCACCGACCGAGCGTCCGACGTTCCATTCCGCCATCACATCGGCCAGCGCGTCAACCAAGGTGACTCGGGACTGGTACGGCGATCCATCGCATCGGTCACGGCGACGGTCGTCTTCAATGCGGTCGTTGTCACGGCGACGTCGTTCGCGACGGTCTTCGTCGTGGTAGCGTCGTTCGCGGCGGTAGCCACCACGAGAATCCTCGTTCGACCTCGCATCGCGTCGACGTCCATCATCTTGACTCCGAGAGCGGCGGAACGACGATTCTCGGTTCGATTTGCGGTCACGGTGACGCAGGATGTCGTTGATCATGTCTTCGAGGTCATGGATGCTCTTGACCCGGACGTGGCACAGACGGTCTTCTAAGTTTCGGACGTCACACGTGACCAAGAAGTGGTCCACGTGGTCCTTCGCGTCACGACCACCGTTTTCAAATTGCACACCGGCGTTGCGAACGTAGCCGTTGAGCCGGTTGAGGTAGTCACAAACGTGTTCCTTGTCTTCCCGCTTGGCCGAGTAGTACCGAGCCTTCGCAGACTGGGAAAACTTCGAGCAATAGTACTTGATGAACGCCTCGCTCAGCAACTTCCACGTGCGTCTTGTCTTGCGTGGGAGCTGGCGACACCAGTGCAGGGCTCCATCCCTGAGCTTAAGTTCGAACGGCATACACCACTCGTTGGGTGGTGCATGCGTTCCCTTCATCTCATAGATGAACGTTCGGAGCCACTGCATGGAGTGCTCGCTCTTGTCGCGCGTTCCGTAGAACGGCTTGATGTTGGCGAGAGGCAAATGCGTGGCGATCTCGAGCTTTGGGGTTGAGCTCTGGTTGTCGGTCGCGCTTAGCTCGCGCACCTGACGTGCTCATTCGCTCGGTAGGTCCCCTTCGTAGTAGTCGGGCCCGAGGTCGTCGTCGCTGTCCGACGAATCATCTTGGAGGTTGTAACGTCGGCCGGAGCGACACCGGTCGCTCCGCGCGTGCCAGGCGTGGGGAATGAAGCCTCGTTCTCCCTAGCCAGACGTTCACTACGGTCCGTAGATCGTGGAGTTACCATGTGCGAGTCTTGCATGTACGGCGAGGCTTCGCCCTTGGTTGCAAAGACACCGTCATCAGTGGCTCCCTTCCGAGGGGTCGCTGGTAGCGGGACCTTCGACGGGTCTACTGCCTCCGAGGTCGAACGAAGCATCGTTGGGCCTCGCGAACTGACGTCCGCCACTTCAAAGGCATTACGCAGCTTCTTCCTCCACTTGGTTAACGCCGTGGCAGCGGCGGTCGGCGTCCAACTCGCGAGCGCAGCCTCCGTGGGGAGGATCTGGGGCTCGCACCCCATAGCTCGCAGGAGGTCCACAGTATTCTGCGCAACGTGCCGAGTGCTCGATGAGTTGATCGGTGTAGCCAACGCCCCTCCGAGGTCCATCCAGATGGCCTGGCGGACTTGCTTCGGGGAGAACAACTGCATCCATTCGCTCTTGGTCTTCACCAGGTCTAGGCACCGGCCTAGGACCTTGTTGGCCGCCGGAGTATCCCCGTTGAGGGGAGGACGAGTGCCAACCGGCTTGGAGGTTGCCCCTCCTACCGTCACCGATGGTTTGAAGTCCTCGGTGGCGCCGTCATCCGCGTCGTAGGCGGGATCGGGACCCGGCATGCCCTTGAACGTGTCGGAGAGGTCGCGGGTAATCGACCTTGATCCTCCACTGCGACCTGTCGACACAACCGCAGCTTCCGAAGGCTCGGACATCGCTGTCCGGACATCCCAGTCATCATCTTCGTCATCTTCTTTGGCGTCCGAGGAATCAATCGCCGTGTCGTAGCTCACAGAACGCTCGTCAATCGACTCCATCCGATCCGTCGTTGGGGTCGAGAATGAGCTTCCGGAGCGCACCGAAGTCTCGTTGCACGTTCCACTCGATTTGGCCGGCGTTGCTGGTACCGCTGACTTGACTCCCTTCGCCATCTTCTCTCTTCTTCTTCTTCTTCTTCTTCTTCTTCTTCTTCTTCTTCTTCTTCTTCTTCTCCTCTTCGCTCGTTGGGGCTAAAGACCTACAACAACCAAGACACACAGAAGGTCACACCAATCCCGGGTCGCGGCACCAGTTGTGGTGTGGTAATTCCACTAAAATCCTCCTCTACCAAAAGGTATTAGAGACACCAACAACACGCTAACCCGCAAAGGTAAGCGCTTATTGGATCAAAACCTGAAGACCAGGAACGATCCCTTAAACCGAGTCGGTTGCAAGCGCCTCTGTGTACCTTAGGTTATCTTCGGTCAGCCCAAAAACCTGTACCACTAGCCACGAGCTAAGGCTAGGATACTATGTAGCGCTTTCGCGCAACCCCACTGCAGTCCCTCAGAAAGGAAGGGTACCGGCGTGTTAGGCCTTATACAGGGGGACCAAGGTAAAACCTCGGTAGGTAGACTAATACACTCAGGGATACTCTAATCCCACAAATATATACCGAACGATACTCTAATACCGTTCCTGCCTCTCTGGCTACGCCAACCCTTGGCGCTGCGAAGGAAACTCTCGGTCAATGCACGATAAGCTCCCCGACAGACATCCACACGCAGCCGAGCGTGTCCAGGCACTACAATAAGCTAGCTACACTTACCGAAGTCGGACTTGACCCTTGTTGGCTTTGGGGGAAGACTGTCTTTTTATTACTGAGTTTTCTGAGGCCCTGGGGGCCTCGTTCTGGTCATCATATGATGAGTCCTATGTCCCTATACAAATATCTAGTGTGAACGATCGCAATAAGGCGATTCCGGACACATCAAATGACGACCGCGGCTACACTAATAAGTGCGGCCGAAGTACGTATCTAAATGCATCTGTACCTAAAAGTGGGTACCATGAAGCCTCGTTCGGGGTTCTATTAGGACCCGATGAGGCTTCGGCCACTGCCTGTCACTCTACCGAGGATAATGTCATCATCCAATCAGAAGCAGCCATCTCCGTCTCTCGCTTGACCTCGCCTTGATCGCCCCTTGATTGAACTTGATTGTCGGGCTGGCGGGTCAACAGCGTTGGAAACTGCCACTTTCCAATACCACACACTTGTGCGTGTAACCCTGTTACAAGATGGAAGAACTGCGCCGTCCGCACCGCTTGCAGCGTCGATTCCCGGAGTCGACACGCCATCTTCACCTCGACGCCTGTTATTGGCGGAGCCCTTCACTACAAAGGGTGCGTCGACTCCCGGAGTCGACGCGAAATTCCTTTTCGCAGCGCCGGTTCCCGGAACCGTCGCGACTTTAATACCTCGACGCCACCCATTGGCGGAGACCCCCATTGCGGAGGGTGCGTCGGCTCCCCGAGCCTACGAATCGAATTCGCCCGAGCCATCGACTCCCGGAGTCGACGGCGTTACGTCACCTTGGCTCTTATTATTGGCCAGACCTGATCCAATCAGATTCGCGTCAGCCTCCACGGCTGAGGCGTGTGACTCGCCTGCGTCATCCGTGCCCCTTGAGGTCGGAGACCCTTCCTGATTCGCTGAAAAGCGGGTGTCGATCTCCGAGATCAACACAATTTCTCCTTCAGCCGTCGGCGGCAACGCCGACGCTAGCTGCTCTTGCGCGCGTGCTCGCGCGCCCCCAGGGCGTTCCGGGACAGCGGCATTAGGCGCTGTCTCGAGTGGGGAGTCGCGCGCACCTGTCGGTGCGTGCGTAGCGGCAACAGGGTCATCGCTCACTGTTCCGAAGCGCACTCTCGTGCGCTTCTCCCAATCGATGACCGGATCATGCCGTGCAAGCCACGGCATGCTCAATACAATGTCAAACTTATCGTCCAGATCCAGGACGATAATGGTCTCGACAAACTCTTGGTCTTCACACGTGAAGCGCACGCGTACCATGCGCTTCTCGGTCTTCACGACGGCACCCGTTGCCAGTCGTACTTCCAACATACTTCGAGGTATCATTAAATCCTCGAAGTCAAGCCTTGGTAGACTTCGCAGTCGAACAAAGTTCTTCGACGCGCCAGAATCTACCAAAGCACGGAGAGAGCCACTTGCTCTCATCGAGTCCACATTCAGGATGACAAGGTCAGGCTTGTCATCTTGGTTCTTGCAGTGAGAATGAACCTCACTGGGGGCTGCAGTCCTCAGTGTCGCGTGTCCAAGGTCGACACGCGGAACTGCATTGCCAGTAGGGCACCCCGCGCCTACTGGCGTCCAGCGTTTTTTGTTTGGTTGCGACGGTGCCCGGCACCGCCGCGATAGCCACCCTGCTGGTGCACGGGGACCGTGCACTCCCGAGCAAAGTGACCGACTCTACCACAACGGTAGCATCGCACATTGTTTCCCTGCGACTGCTGGGGTCCAACAGTTGCAGCACACGAGAGGTCCATGGGTAATGGGCCTCCCGTCCTCACTACCGGGCGTGGCTGTGGCCTCGGCACATGTGCATGCAGCTTAGTCTGCCGCAGGCTAAACTCCTCCTGCATTGCAAGAGTAATTGCAGCTTCGAGAGTACTCGGGTACTCACGGAAGAGATAGGTCTTCACAGGCCCATCTCTCAGCCCCTTCATGAACGTGACGACGTTGGTCGCCTCGTCGATCGGATTGGTCACGATGTTCAAGACCAAGTACCGTGCTCTCTGAGCGTAAGCATGGACATCATGCTTGCCCTGCTGCAGGTCGAGGAACTCCGCCCTCGACCGGAACTCGTTTTGCGGTGGCTCAAACGCTTGTCTGAGCTCTTCCTTGAAACCCTCGTATGTGCTAAAGCACGTAGGATCCGAGAGTCGGCGTCCATACGCCCAACTTCTTGCGCGTCCGCCAAGACATGACATGGCGAACGCAACCTTCGACAACGGGTCGACGATACGTCGAGCCGCAATGGCTGTGTCGAGTTCGACAGGCCAACGGAGGAGAGGTTCACCCTCTCTTCCGACATAGTTGCTCACATTGAGCTTCAGCGATTGCGCGCGTGGTGTCGCCCCGGACGACACCGCGGTAGTAGCAGCAACATCGCGTTGCTCCTTCAGGATGAAACCCAGAGCAACACCGTGTTGCTCTGTCGGCGTTAGCGTACACAGCATCGTAGCTACAGCCGCCTCACCAATGACCGTTGACAGTCGTTGGAGGGCCTCCCACTCTGGATCCGACAGGTGGGGACAGTCAGCGCGTGCAACGTGAGTTGCAGGCGTAGTGGAGCTTTCCATGGGCACCTCTGTATCCATGGGAAGGTTCTCAGCTCCGCGTTCGTGCGGTGACGTACGAACTCAGGTAGTCGGTCGTTGGACGGACTACAAAGTGCTACCAGGTGTAATGGGCCTACTTTGGCTCACTACTTTAGCTTACACGTGTGCGCGTGCATGTGAGGAAGCGTAGCTTAGTTTAAATTAGAGTTAATTATACTCGGGCCTCCGAGTATAGATTAATCTAAATAAACGATCCAAATAATGTTTTTGGGTTAAAATGAGAACTGCTATTTTTGTTTTATGCTTTCTGACTTCCTCTAAATGTAATATTCTAAGATAGGAATCTGCCAACGGCTGGTTGGCAGAATTCCAATGCTATGCATGTCGCTCATTGGCTAAAAGATGCTGCTCTCAGCCAATAGGAATCCTAAGTCTCTATGGACCACCCGTCGTGGTGGTCGTAAATGTATGTAGCCTTTGGTGTGTCTACACCAAGGTCGAGAAAGTCTTTCGAACCTCTAACAGACGTCGTATCTGTTAAAGTCACAAGTGACTGTAGCCACTTGTGCGTGTAACCCTAAGGTTAGACGCGCCGAGTCACGGCACGTCAATCAGGAAATTGACCATTCGTCAATTCTTCACGTTGGGAGAAAGAAAACTCGAGCTCATTCCGCAATGAGCTCGCCGCAGAAGAAGACCGCCGCCGCAACAGAGGGTAACCTCTCTGTTGCTCAGTACCATGAGCGCCAGCAGGCAAAGCGCGACGCGCTCGCTGCAAAGGCCGCGTCGGGGACAACTCAGTCGGAGATTGTCCTCGAAGGTTCCTCTGTAGTCAACGACGCCGTTGACTACGAAGACGACGACGTGGAGATGGTAGAGAGTGAGGCCTCTTCTAGCAAGCGCAAGGAGTCTATCGACAGCGATAGTCTCGACCCGCATGCCGGGTCGAGACGCCTTCGTGAAGGAGACGACTCGGACGCTTCGAGCTCGAAGCGTTCGCGCGGCGAGAGCGACACTCCGCTCTCTGCTGCTGGGGCTTTAAGCTCCCCGCGTGAGGTGGCCCCTTCAAGCTCTCCGCGCGCTGCTCAGTCAGCGCGCGATCCGTGGATGCCGTCTGCGTCAGAGATCGCAGACCGTGTGGGCAACACCGTGCCTCCAAATGTACGTATGCAGCGGGATCCACGATGATGCTGTGGCGGAGGAGCAGCACTTTGATCCGTTAACGAATCAAAGGCGCGATTACTATATCGAACTCTTTCACGCGCTCCGATACTTCTCCAGCAAGAAGACCTCTTCTCGCAGCAAAGTGCCTGAGTGGCAGGCACTTTGTCAAAGTTGGAATGCTTTTGTTGAGAACTTCAACAAGAAGCCGGTTGCTTACCGTGAGCGGGTTAAGCATGCCCGTGAGCGCTTCGAGACATTCTCGACGCGCGGGAGGCTGGAGCAGCTCCCCAGATCCTCTGTGGACGCTGGTATTCCATGCGCTGTGCCTGAAGGCCATCAGTGCACGTTGTGTCTTCCGGGTGCGGCGCGCTTCAGCGACCGCGACCTAAACGGGTACACGACGATTCGTGTACCTGCGAGTCTCAAGGATCTCCGTGCCAAGTTCTTGGCACGTGAGAAACGCGACGATCGTGGGGCCTCGCGCGCTGTAGGTGACCACAGCGCTCGCACTACCTTCGCGTCGGCAATGCGTGGTGAGCTTCGTACTCCCTCACCATTTCCGGAACGTCCTGCAACAGGACGTCCCGTGGCTCCCATGTATCTGGTGGGGCGGAAACCCTCTCCAACGAATACGATAACGAACCGGCTGCCGGTTCGTTTTCGGGATACTATGGTTCACAATACGCTCAACAATCCAGCGTGTTGAGCCGCGGGCGTCGCGGATCGGAGGCGGCGGTGGTGGGAACACGCCCCGGGTATTGTCAACCTGGGGTTGACCTTGGCCCGACGCTCGAGGAGCGGGTCGCTGCTGTGGAGCAGCTTCAGAGCCGTGAGTTTGCCGCTCTGAAGCAGGAGATGGCGACCCTGAGAGCTCAAGTTGCTTAGACCTCGCAGACCGCGTCGGACATCTCTGTCGACGCGGGAGGTCGCGTCGCACGCTTGGCCCAGCGCGTTCACGCGCTGGAGCAGAGGTTCGCTCCTGCTGGGGCTTCCGCTTCGGGCCAGCCGAGCTAGGTGGCTCGTGCTGCCGGTATGGCTTCAGCCGCCCGACGTAAAAGGTCGGATGGAGGCGCATGCTAGATGGAATATCTAGCGTGTAGGCGTTGTCATGCTGTGCCAACACCGTGAACGGCCCGATGAAGCGCGGAGCGAGCTTGCTCGCCCCGAAGTCGGAAACTGCATGTTTAGGCAGGTTTTGAGTTGCTAACAAAACCAATGAACCCTTATTGAATTCATTAGTGTTGCCCCTACCAACATTGTCTGCGTTCAGCTTCTGTCGGTCGACAGAAGCTGCGATAGCGTCTTGGACAAACCGAATGACGGCTTGTCTGCGCTGCACGAAGTTGATTGCGTCCGAGCTGAACTCGTTCAGCTCGTTTCTAGCAGTAGGCCCGGCCTCTGCGTTCGTCTTCGCGGTGTCTGTGCCCTGCACAGACCCGTTCTTCTTCTTCTTCTTCTTTTTGCTCTTGTCGGCGTCTGTGCCCTGCACAGACGCGTGCTTCTTCTTCTTGTTGCGCGTAGTCGCGGCTGACACTGTGCAAGTATCAGCGGCATTCTGCGGCTGCTGTGTTGCTGTCGTAGATCCTCCCCCACTTAAGGAAGGAGCCACCATCCCGAGTAGACTCGGGAGGCGTGGGTGCCTGATGGCATTCACGTAGAACGGTGTATGCCCGGTCGAGGCATGCACCGAGTTGTTGATGGCGAACTCCGCCATCGGCAGGCACTCGCTCCAGTGTTGGAACGAGTGAGCGTAGCTCTTAAGCACGTCTACGAGTACGCGGTTCACGCGCTCGGTCTGCCCGTCCGTCTGCGGATGGTCCGCAGTCGACATCGAAAGTTGACTCCCAAGAAGTGTAAACACTTCTTGCCAAAGGTGTGCAGTGAAGCGCGGGTCTCGGTCCGACACAATGTCGATCGGCATGCCATGGTGTTTGAACACCATGTCAACGAACAGACGCGCCGTCTGTTTCGCAGTCACTTCAGCGGGTACTGCAGCAAGATGTACCATCTTGCTGAAGCGGTGAACAAAGACCACAACGCCCGTGTTCCCCTGGTTGTCCGGGGGAAGACCGAACACGAAGTCCAAAGACATGGACTGCCAACACTCCCGTGGAGTTGGTAGTGACTGCAAGGGAGCCTGCGCGAAAGGCGCAGGCTTCACACGTTGACAAACCTCGCAAGCACGGACGTACTTGCGCACCCATTTATACTGGTGGGCCCAGTAGAAGTCTCGCGTGAGAAGAAGGTATGTCTTCTCACGGCCCGGATGCCCCGCAGTCGGCGCATCGTGATACTCGTACATGATCCTGAGTCGCAGGTCATGGTCATTGGGCACGACAACGCGGTCCGCGTTGTCGTCGACTGTACTGTAGAGTAGTAACCCGTCGTGCACCCGATAACGGTGTGCACGAGCACGAAGATGCTTCGGCAGCTTCTGACGAGCTTTGTCAGAAGGCGCTGAGCCGTAGGCCAGCAAGAGCTTCGCGTCCGCGTCGTGCGCGTACGCGACCTTCACGTCGTCCAACAGTGACGACGTTGGGGTGCTCGGGGGAATGCACGGTCCCCGTGCACCAGCAGGGTGGCTATCGCGGCGGTGCCGGGCACCGTCGCAACCAAACAAAAAACGCTGGACGCCAGTAGGCGCGGGGTGCCCTACTGGCAATGCAGTTCCGCGTGTCGACCTTGGACACGCGACACTGAGGACTGCAGCCCCCAGTGAGGTTCATTCTCACTGCAAGAACCAAGATGACAAGCCTGACCTTGTCATCCTGAATGTGGACTCGATGAGAGCAAGTGGCTCTCTCCGTGCTTTGGTAGATTCTGGCGCGTCGAAGAACTTTGTTCGACTGCGAAGTCTACCAAGGCTTGACTTCGAGGATTTAAAGATACCTCGAAGTATGTTGGAAGTACGACTGGCAACGGGTGCCGTCGTGAAGACCGAGAAGCGCATGGTACGCGTGCGCTTCACGTGTGAAGACCAAGAGTTTGTCGAGACCATTATCGTCCTGGATCTGGACGATAAGTTTGACATTGTATTGAGCATGCCGTGGCTTGCACGGCATGATCCGGTCATCGATTGGGAGAAGCGCACGAGAGTGCGCTTCGGAACAGTGAGCGATGACCCTGTTGCCGCTACGCACGCACCGACAGGTGCGCGCGACTCCCCACTCGAGACAGCGCCTAATGCCGCTGTCCCGGAACGCCCTGGGGGCGCGCGAGCACGCGCGCAAGAGCAGCTAGCGTCGGCGTTGCCGCCGACGGCTGAAGGAGAAATTGTGTTGATCTCGGAGATCGACACCCGCTTTTCAGCGAATCAGGAAGGGTCTCCGACCTCAAGGGGCACGGATGACGCAGGCGAGTCACACGCCTCAGCCGTGGAGGCTGACGCGAATCTGATTGGATCAGGTCTGGCCAATAATAAGAGCCAAGGTGACGTAACGCCGTCGACTCCGGGAGTCGATGGCTCAGGCGAATTCGATTCGTCGGCTCGGGGAGCCGACGCACCCTCCATAATGGAGGGCTCCGCCAATAACAGGCGTCGAGGTGAAGATGGCGTGTCGGCTCCGGGAGCCGACGCTGCAGGCGGTGCGGACGGTTGCAAACGTTCCGCACCGGAAAAACTTGCATGCTGACGTGCAGCCCGGCTGCACGACGAAGCGCCGGGCGACCAAGCCGGGCTTGAAGTCACTCGCCCGCGGGATAAACCCGCCGGCGGTACTGAAGAAGAACACCTGTCCACGGCTGGGCCTGGACGAGGTCAAGAACCAAGCGGAGCCGGGCTCCGCAAAACAAGAAGACGGCGCATGCGAAGGTCGCTGCGCAAGTCTCGGTCTGGGGCCGAGACGCTACAAGGAATGTCTGCCGGGCAGACGGAGGCTGAGAAGCCGGACGTCGAGACGTTGAACGTCTTGACGCGTACCTGTGCCGGGTTCCGGTACAGGGAGATGACCCTCGCTAACCCTCCAACGCAAGCGTCGGAGTTGACTTCGCTTCCAGTCATGAGCTGGAAGCGCTTCGCGCGTGACTTGCACGATGGACGCATCGAGCAAATATGTATTCTCTCGGACGCCGAGAGAACGAAGAGCGAGAATGAAGAACTGAGGCAGTTCTTCATGGAGACCACCACTGAGAGCGAGGACACTCTCAGTGCGAAGACGAAGAAGGAGTACTTTGAAGAGCAGAGCTGGGACTCGCTGAAGACGAGTCCCTTCTACGAGATTCTACGGGAGCACGCGGACGTGCTTCCGGAAGAGATCCCTGCGGAGCTTCCGCAGGACAAGGGCATCCAGCACGAGATTGATCTCGTACCGGGCACGAAGTACTGTGTCACGCGGCAGTGGCCACTGCCGCGAGAGCAGGTCAAAGGGATCGACGACTTCTTCGAAAGTCGTCGCAAAGCTGGACAAGTGCGGGAATCGAAATCCCCGCACAGTGCTCCGACGTTCTGTGTCAAGAAGCCACGGGGCGGCTGGCGCATCGTTCATGCGTATAACAAGCTGAACGATGCGACGATACCGGCGCAGACGCCGATACCTCGAAAAGATGTTATCATCGATTCGATGGCCAGGAGCACTATCTACAGTGCTCTTGATCTGCGCGATGGGTTCTATCAAATCCTCATGCGTGAGAGCAATATCCCTCTCATGGCAGTGAGCACGCCGAGCGGCATGCTCTGGGAGTGGCTAGTGATGCCGCAGGGTCTGAAGAACGCCCCTGCGATCTTCAACAAGTGGGTGACGCACTTGTTGCGCTCGGTGCGCGACTTCGCACCGAGCTACTTCGACGATGTGTTCGTCCACAGCCGAGCTGCGGACGGGATGAGCGACGTTGAGATGCACAAGGTGCATCTCCGGAAGCTGCTTGCGCTCATGCGCAAGCACAAGCTCTATGCGAACCTGAAGAAGTGCATCTTCGGGGCGAGCGAGATACCCGTGCTCGGGTGTCTCGTTGGGAAGAACGGTGTCCGCCCTGACCCTGAGAAGGTCAGAGTGATCAATTAGTGGCTGACACCGTCGAACGTCAAGGAACTGCGGCAGTTCCTTGGCTTGGCCACGTAATTGTGCAAGTACGTGAAGGACTGCTCGGGCATGATACGCCCGCTGTCACAGCTCCTGAAGAAAGACGCCGAGTGGGTTTGGACTGCTGAGTGTCAGCAGGCCTTCGATGCAGTCAAGCGGGGCTTGACTGAGGCGCCGATCTTGGCGGTGGCCGACCAAGATCGCCCATTCCACGTTGGGTGTGACGCATCCGACTTCGCAATCGGATGTGCGTTGATGCAGCACGATCACGAGGGTCGTGATCGTGTCGTCTACTACCAATTGCGTCAGCTGAAGCCAGCTGAGCGCAACTACCCGGTACATGACAAGGAGCTCCTTGCCATGAAGTACGCACTCGCGAAGTTCCGAGTGTATCTACTCGGAAGCAAACCGTTCGTGATCTATACAGACCACGCCTCGCTGCGGACGGCTGTGAAGTCGCCGCACATCTCGCAACGGATGGCGAGATGGCTCTCATTCTTCGCAGAGTATAACTTCCGGGTTGAGTACAAACCCGGAAGACTCAATGTGGTGGCCGACGCGCTCTCGCGTCGACCTGACTACGCCACGACTGATGCCGACGTCAATGCCATTGATGCCATGCGATAGCCTGAAGTGGACTTGCGGTCGGCGAGGTCGCCGGCCCAGTCCGCGTCCGAGTAGCCACGAAAGTCGATCTTGTCGCCCGGCTTGAAGCAGATCCCATGCGTCTTGGTGCCTTGCAGGTAGCGAAAGATACGCTTGACCGCAACCCAGTGTTCCTCTTGGGGGTTCTCCATGAAGCGCGATACATAGCCAACGGCGTACGCGATGTCTGGGCGCGTGGCGGTCATCAGGTGCATCAGAGCA